GGCCCGGTTCTGGACGGCCTAGCGTAACAGAACAACGGGATGACCGGTTTTTTACTTTGAGAATTTTACGAAACCGGCACCTTACCGTTGTTCAAGCGATTCATCAGCTCGAAGAAGTTCGAGGTGTGCAAATTTCTGAACGTACCGCTCGGAGAAGATTAAATGAGTATGGATTAATGGCTTTTCGTCTAGTAAGAGGACCAGAGTTGACCAGAACTGACAAGAGTATCACGGCTGGCTTTTGCTCGAGAACACAGCCATTGGACGAATGGAGTGCTGTACTTTTTACAGATGAGTCAAGATTCGCTCTTCGATCTCCAGACGGGCGTGAAAGGGTGTGGAGAAGAAGAAACGAAAGATATGCAGCCTGTAATTTTTCCCAGAGTATTTTTTCTGTAATTTTTCCCGCCAACCTTTCCAACGAGGTTCCTTAATGGTGTGGGCTGGGATTTCAATGGAGCGCCGCACAGAATTGGTTGTTATTCGTGGAGGGTCTTTGACAGCCATTCGCTATGTAGATGCGATTTTGGAACCTCATGTGTTGCCTATCCTCAACGAAATCGGCGATCGTTCTATTCTAATGCCCGATAATGCACGCCCACGTTTCGCCCGCAAAGTGCAGACGTTCCTTCAACAGAACAATATTGACGTTTTAGCCTGGCAAGCACGTTCTCCAGATTTGAACCCCATCGAGCATTTATAGAATAACCTCGGAAGACGAATAAGAGCGCGTGCAACACTTCCTGACACACTGCAGGACCTTGAAAGGGCTCTTCGGGAAGAATGGGCTATCCTCCAACAAAGGGACATTTCCCGACTGGTGGAAAGTATGCCGAGGCGTCTTCAAGAAGTAGTGAAGGCAAGAGGAGGAAACACGCGCTACTAAACGATGATGTAATTAATTTCTTTTAAAACAATAATGGTTCGTTTTGGAATCTTGGAAACATTGGAATCTAGAATAATTTCATTGAATTAAGGATTAAGGGTTATTGTCCTCTATATTAACATTCCTAATTGAAAACAAACAAAAAGATTACCTATTTATTCATTAAAACAATAGACCAATCCAAAGCAGAAATATTTTTAGATGAAAACATGAAAAAATCAAGTGGGTGGAATTTTTTGCCTGTCAGTGTATAACTACTGTTAGTGCAAAAGGTGGTATGTACAAATTTGCAATTTTATTCTATATTTGACATTCTGTAGTCTGTAACTGACATAAGTAGTCTACTACAATTGAATATAAGAAGGTAATAAAATATGAAATTATACAACAATAAAATAATGAAGAAATTATTAGTTTTTATTCTCTCATGTACGATCTTTTGTAATAACTGACTGATGTGCATGTTCAGTATGCTCTTGAATTTTGTGGTTTTAATCATGAGTTATCAAATATGCAATTTGCAAATGCGGAACTCTTTCGTTTTTTAGTATTCGCTAATCAACAAAACTGGTGGATATGAAACACATATATAGGGATTACTGAATTTTTGAAAACAGCTTCTCCCAGAGACTTTATCCTCATACGAAAAAAATTAGATCTTGTAATGAAAATATTTTGTAGCTAATGAAAACGGTGAGGAAGCTATACTGATCTTACTTCGCAGACGTTTTTTTATAAAATAATATAAATTGACAATAAGGTAATGTATAATATAGATTTTTAAAGTAATTAAAAAAAGTCTGAACTGGGGCTTCATTCCGTTTATTTTATGTTGATAAAAAATAATACAATCTGAACTAAATAATACATGTAAATAACGGCTATACAATTTGAGCAACGAGCAGAACAATTAAACGAACATTTGTAAAATGGGGGTTGATCCGCCGTTAGGCGGACAGGGGGCACCTCTCTAATTACTTAATAATACACTTTTGTGAAATTATTTATTTAGTTTTACATGTTGTTGTTATACATCGTATCGTTTGAAGTCTGTTTTTGTTTTTTAAAGTTTTTGTTTCTTCTTTTTGACTGGTTATTGTAATGTAAGTGCTTAACTGAAGGATTGTTGTCAACGATAAAACCAGTCCTCGATAAATGAGCAATGTGAATCACGAGTAGTGAAAGGTAATCTGAGAGATTCGCCTGCCTCTGTCCTCAAAGTGCAGGATAAAACACTCGAAAAGGAAGTGATTGACCTCGGTAAGAAAAATTAAGCATGTCTGACGACAGATTTCTAGGCGAAATGATAAGGCTGTTATAAATAGCTAAAGCATTATGATAGTGATATCCATAAGGTATTGGTTTAATAAACTAAAAATAAAAACTAAATCAAATTTGAGTTGGATTCACATACTTTTTCAATTACTTATGCTTATAACTAGCCCTATGGATAGCAACTGTGGGTTAAATGACTAACATAAATGTTTCATTTATTAAAAAAAATAAATTTCACGATTGCAATACTTACCCTTACTATATATTACATACATACGTAAGTGAAAGTAAAAAGTAACAAATATGTGGTTAAAAAAAATAAAATAACGTACTCATTGGGAATAGAATGGAACATCTGTTGGAAAAGTTTCGAGTGAAGAAGACATAAAAGAAATAAATCGAACTGTAATCTTCTACTTTTGAAGTCTGTTAAAAATAAATTTTAGCAAACGAAATACACAGGAAGAGATTTTAGAGATTCTTTAACGCATTCTAATGCTTAAAAACTGACGGCAAAATTGCAGGTTTTAAATTTATAGAAAAGTTTCTTATATCTTTGTACAAAAATTCACGATATAATAAACTGTTTTTAAGATATAATAAACTGAAAAAAGAACATTTTTCTTTTTACATATTTTTTTTGTTTTGTAAAACAATGCAATCCAGGTAGGAGGTGAAAAAAAAATCCAGAATCAGATACTAATTTTTCATGTCTTAAAACTTTTTGAGACATTTCATTAAAATACATACATTGTATTTTTTTGAGAAAAAAAATTTTAAATTCAGCACGATGAGAAGCCCAGAACAAGGCAAACTACAGACATGCAGGTAGATCCCTTATTTGGATCTTCGCTCATTTTACATCCAAAATGAAATTAACAACATTCTTTTCACTGAAGGATAATTCAATTTTGGAATTAGATCTTCCCCACACATACAGCGTGTGCTATTAGTAAAGGGGAAGTATTTGTATTTAAAGCGATGATGGCAGACTTCAAGAAATACGAAAAAAGTTTATGTAAACAATGATCCGATTTTCAGCAGAAAAGCGGGAAGATTCAGTTTTGTTTTTTTAAAGTAAGCCATTTTTTTTAATACAAAGCGATAACTAAAAAAATATCCACATTAATTTGTCAGAGTATGAAATATGTTCTTCTGTTTTTAAAACAAATCATGAATTAATCTCGATTTTTTTTTTCATCCTCCAACTAGACTTCACATACCCCACTTTTGGAAAAACTTTCTTGTTAAATAAACTTTAAGTCCATGTTAATTGAGTTGAGATTTATTACGAAATGATTTGATGACTCGTATTTTTAGCAATGATTTATTTCAAAGCTTCCATTTCTTTCTTTTTTTTCCATGACCTGAGAATTCTCGTATTATAGTAAATATAACTGCATTAATAAACCTTCAGTTTACAAAAATAGTTAAAAATAATGATTTTCGTAATATGTATAATCTGAATTGATAATATAACAGTGGTTTTTACCCAGATCCTTGTTATTATAAAGGAATTGATACGTTCTTATAAGTGACCATTTTTTGGAAAATAATTCAAGATATCCGCAGGATTTTTTTATTTTAAACACAAGTACTAGGATCGGAACCATTTAGTTGATCAGTTATTAACAAGGATCGATTTCTATGTCACTTTAAATGATAAATATTTCAAAAAGTATTATTATTTATCTTCTTTTTTTAAAATAAAATATTTATTTAGATGGTTATTTTTATTGTAATAATTCCCAGCTCATGGAACAAAAAAAAAACTAAAGCTTTGCAATAATTTATTGGAGTCATTTTTGCTGGGAACACTGGTGCTTTTAGGTAACAGGGTATGAAATTATAAATTTTTTTACACAACTGAAGGTGAATCTAAACTCGTTTCGTAATATATATCAACCTAATTAGAATAATCAGTAGTTGAAATTTAATCAATGTCGACTGAAATCTTAAAGTGGGGCATATATGGTACATTTGAAGCGTAATAAAAAAATAGTTTTCTAAAAATTAGCTTAGTTTAGCCGCTCAAAATTTCTTTTTAAATAGCTCAAAAAATTTTAACAAGGGCAAACTGAACTTTGCTTCGAAGTAAATTTTGTCTAGATTACTGTGAAGTAGTTGTCAATTACTTAATCTGAATATTTATTTAGTTATCGCTTCCTTTTCTTACTTTTCTGCTTAAAATTGGATCATTATTTGTCACTCCTTTGAATATTTCCCTCTACTAACGGGACAACCTGTATAACAAAAGTCGTTAAGGTGGTTCAGATAAACTCTAGGTACTTTCTAACTAACCACAACTTTGGAGAAATATATTCGTAAATATGTAATACAAATTAATTCAGACCAACAGATGATATCATTCTAATTAATGTACACTACACTATATTACTTATGTATATGTCTAACCATATTTGAACATGCACAAAGCAGTAAGAATACCATTGTTCATTTGGTTCCATCATATGTACAGTGGTCCGGGAGCTTATATTTAACTATGGAGATATCGACGAAAAAAGTTTTGAAATACTTTATTTCCAAAATTAAAATGACAAAACAATATTTTTGTGATGGAAAAATTTCGAATACATGTCAGAAAACTCGGCAAAATCTATATGATGGGCTTGTATCAATAGCTGCTCTTATAAAAAAAAAAAATCATTTTGACCGATCCAATTCAACTTATAAAATATATTGTAACGCTCGTTAAAATATAAGCAATATAAAACTATACCTCAATTAATATTTTTTAAACTATTACTACCTTGATATCACGAACTGCATTTTGAAACACTAATAAACGATATGATGAAATATCATATTAAGTACTCACCAATGTTACTAAAAACAGAAAACGAAGGGAAACCATCATAACTCCGATGTTGCGACCGGTTGATTCATGCAACCAAAATGAATCCTATAATTCGTAAAAAAAGTGATTTCTAGTTTAAATGATAACAATGTTATCTTTTTTGAGCACTTTATTAAACACTTGTGTAAACACACTTATCACTTATGTCTTGAGATTTAAAACTACCAAAAGTTAATTGATAAGCAGGGGATTACCAGCATATTGAATTCTTTAAAAATTAGAAATGTGTCTGCACATATTGCTTCCGTCACTAATATTGACACCATTGAGAAATGGTAGTTATTTTATCATCTATATTTTATAAATGCATAATGTTATTATGTTATACGCGTAATTTTTGTAAGGTTTATAAATTACCTAAAAAATTTGGCTATCATAAGTAATTATTTTTAGAGAAGCTGAATGTTAAAATTGATCGGTAATGACCTGACATAAATATATGTTATCTATTAAGTTTGGCGTCGTTTCGAGCCAAGCATTATGGGTCATCATCAGGACAATGGTTGCTGGCTAGACCAATTATCTTGGGTTCTTGATATAGTCCAATAAAGTTAGGGATTTACCCCAACACCCAAAAATAAAGATAAAACTTGTCAGAAATAAAACTGTTCATTACCCTCTCCATCACTGGTAAAAAGTCCCAAAGAATCTCGTGCCGGGTTTTTATGTGGGTAGGGAGGGAAGGACAGAGAAGTGATTTTTTAAATAGTTTTTTTTTAGAATATCTCCAAAACTACGAGGATTTTCAAAAAGATTGTTCGATATAATATTAAAGTATTTTAAAATCTCTATAAAAATGATCCTATATATTTTTAAAAAAATCAATGACTACGGAGATATTTATGAGATTATATTTATTGCATTTCGACTTTAAGCAAAAATTCTCCAAACCACGAAATTAGTTTTTTAATGTTTTCGATCGTTGAAGTTATTATTCAAAGTGTCTTTATTTTAATGATTCTTAAAAGCCATTGACAACAGAATTATATTCGACATCAATCAATGGGGAATTTCGTGATAATAATTTGAAGTTTAGACTGACATTAGATTCATATAATTGATAATATGTGATAAAAGACATTATAACTTATAAAAGTACATTGAACCATGATCTGATAACATACAGAGAACCAGGAAACTCAAATTTTGTAATTTTTAACCCAACCACGTTTTACGTTGAATAAAAAGTAGTAACTAAAAAAATATTTAATTTAGGTGACAACCAATTACTTCATAGTAAACTAGATTAAATTTACATTAAACGCAAGTAAATCTTGACTTTTTTAAAACCAAGAACCAATACTATTTTTACTAATTAGAAAAAATGTAAACTCAACTTAATTAATATAGAATTAAAGTTCATCCAACAAGGGAGTGTTTCTAAATGTATGGTATCTTCATTCATTTTCTCTAATTGAGTAAAAATATTAGTACAGTAAAATTATAAATCGACTTTACATCTTTTTACTATATTAGTGATGAATCTCAACTTATTCTGTAAAAACTTCAGTTTAATTAATATAGACTTAAAAGTGCATCAAACAAGGAAGTTTTTCTGAAAGTGTGATATCTGCAGTCCTGTTGGGGGATTATAAAAAAAATCGTGGAGAATCCTCAATTTTATGAAAGACTGAACTTACCGTACTTTAACTGCTTAAAAGTTCCCTTTAAATGGTTTTAAAAAGTCAAGATTTAATAAAAATTTAATCTAGTTTACTTTGAAGTAATTGGTTGTAACCTAAATTAAATATTGTTTTAGTTACTGCTTTTTATTAAACATAAAACGTGGTTGGCTTAAAAATTGCAAAATTTAAGTTTCCTGGTTCTCTGTATGTAATCAGAGCATGCTTCATTGTAACTTTTTATAAGTTATAATATATTCTATCACTTCTTATCATTATCATGTAATTCTCCATTGATTGATATCTAATATAATTCTGTTGTCAGTAATTAATATTTAGTATTAGTATATAATTAGTAAATAGTTGTTAATTTTAAGAATCATTAAAAGAAAGAAACTTTTAATAATAATTTGAATGGTCCAAAATGTTAAAAAAATTAATTAAACTTCAAAAAGGTATCGTCTACTATGAAGAACACCAATTTCATGGTTTGGAGCAATTCTTGCTTTAAGTGGAAATACAATAAATATAGTCTCATAAATATCTCCGTAACCATTGATTTTATAAAATAAAAATGTACAGGGCCATTTTTATAGAAATTTAAAGCACTTTAATATTGTACTAAGGAATCATTGTGAAAAACCTCATAATTTTTTAGATAACCTCAAAAAACTAAAAAAATATTAGTTTTCTGTTCTTTTCTCCCTCTCTCCATCCAAACCCCATGTAGGATTCTTTGCGACTTTTTATCAGTTATTCTGGGTAGGATAATGAACAATTTCTGACAAGTCTCATCTTTATTTTTTGAAAGTTGGGGTAAGGTTTTTTTCTCCTTTACTTTACTGGACTTACTTACTTTACTTTAGGGGCCCACCAGACTTGCTGGAGGGTGTGACGTAGGATTGAACGCCCTACTCACATATCTTTAGTTCACCAAACACCACAAAAAGTCATGGATCTCCCTAAGGTAAAACGCTCATTATCCGGAGGTAAACTAGTCCCCCGTTCGGGTCTCCGGGTGGGGACTGCTTTAGGGGATTCATGGTGCAAGTTGAAATATAGGGATTTAAATATTGGTACGTGGAACGTAAGGAGTTTAAACACAGCAGGGGGGCTAAAATCGGTCGCGAATGAGGTAAATGGGTACAATTTGGATGTCGTGGCTCTGCAAGAGGTTCGCTGGCCAGGGGAGGGCTCGATGAGGGAAGGAAAGTACACTATTTGGTACGGAGGAAGCGGGAATCATTGTTTAGGTACCGGGTTTCTAATTAGGAGTAGATTACTATCCGCTTTGAGCGACGTACAATTCTTTAGTGATAGAATTTCGGTAGCTATATTTCAGGGACGTTGGTTTAAAATCGCATTAATAAACATACATTGTCCGACCGAAGACAGTGACGATGAAGTCAAAAGTGAATTTTACGATAAACTCGAATGGGTTTATGATAAACTACCGCGAAACTACATGAAAATAATTGTAGGTGACGCGAACGCAAAGGTAGGAAGGGAAGAAGTTTATATTCCGACGATTGGTAAAGAAAGTTTGCACGAATATAGTAATGATAATGGGATCCGTCTGATAAACTTTGCCATCTCGAAAAACCTGATAATTAAAAGTACGACGTTTAAACATAAGGATATTCATAAATATACTTGGACATCACCGGATTCGCAAACACGAAATCAAATAGATCATGTCTTGATACAACACAGCTGGCAAAGCAGTATAATCAATGTACGGTCTTATCGCGGAGCAGAATGTGGGTCGGATCATGAATTAGTAATCGCGAAACTTCGACAAAAACTTAATATAAAAAAGAGAAAAGAAAACCGTTTCGATTTTGAGAATTTTAATTTGGAAAAATTAAAAAATCCATCAATTAGAAACCAATTCGAGCTAGATGTTAAGAATAGGTTTGAAGCTTTAGAGCTTCCTGACGAGGACCACGAGGATATTGACAAGTTATGGGTAGAGATCAGGGATAATATAAAAGCGGTCGGTAACTCGTGCCTAGGAAAAAAGGAAACTAAGAATAACAAACCGTGGTTTGATGAAGATTGCTTAAACATGTGCGAAAAAAGAAAAGCCGCTAAATTAAAAGCTCTAAATAATCCTAGCGAAGACAATCTGGAATACTTCCGAATCTCAAAGAACGAAACGACAAAATTGCTCAAAAATAAAAAAAGGGAGTATCTTAAAAATAAAATAATTGAAATAGAAACTAATAGAATCGAAAATAACGTAAGAGACATGTACAAAGGTATAAACAGATCACGTAAATATGTAGGGCCCGTAACGTCTGGAATTAGGGATGATAATAACAATATTCTGACCGATCCGGTTGACATATTGAATAAGTTTAAGGACCACTTTGACAATATTTTAAATACGGGAAATTATGATCTGTGTCCTCCTTCTGAGTACCAGAGTGCTGAACCGTTAATAGAAGGACCAAGTAAAGAGGAAGTTGAAGTAGCTATCGGAAAATTAAAATCATATAAAGCAGCGGGAATCGATAATATTCCTACTGAACTAATTAAGGCATGCGGGGAAGCTGGAGTTTCTAAAATACATCGGTTGGTTAAAAAGATCTGGGTGAACGAGAAATTACCTGAAGAATGGAAAGAATCTATTCTTATTCCGATTCACAAAAAGGGTCCGAGGACGGATTGTAATAACTATCGAGGAATTTCACTCCTTCCGGTATGTTATAAAATATTCACTTCAATCTTAACCAGTCGAATTACGGAATACGCCGAGGAAATTATCGGAGACTACCAATGCGGATTTAGACGGAATCGTTCGACTATTGATCAAATATTTTCTTTACGGCAAATATTAGAGAAAAAATTGGAGTACAAAGGTATTGTTCACCAGCTGTATATAGATTTTAAAAAGGCTTACGATTCTATTGACCGCCAGAAACTGTATAATATTCTAATTGAGCAGGGGATTCCAAAAAAACTAGTAAATCTAGTCAGGATGTGCTTGACGGAGACACTCAATAAAGTTAGAATCGGTAATAATTTGTCCGAAAAATTTGAGGTTCGTTCGGGCTTAAAACAGGGGGATTCACTTTCGCCTGTCCTGTTCAATTTGGCATTAGAACATGCCATTAGGGAGGTAATGCGAACCGAGAAAGGGTTGGATCTGGGCGGGACAACATCCGTGCTGGGCTATGCTGATGATCTGGTACTGTTAAGCGAAGACGTTGAAACTATAAAACTAAATACGACAACGTTAATGAAAGCCGGGAAAGAACTAGGACTCGAAATAAACGTGGATAAAACAAAATATATGGTTAGCTGCAAAAATGGCGATACTACTGGTGACATCGATATAGATGGTAATATGTTTGAACAGGTAGATAAAGTTTAGGTATCTAGGTTCAACGATAACTAGAAAAAACGAAATTGAAGAAGAGATTAAAGTTAGACTGAAGGCGGGAAATGCTTGTTATTTTTCTGTGACAAAACTACTTAGTTCGCGCCTCTTGTCCCGGAACTTAAAAATTAGAATCTATAAAACAATTATCTTGCCTACAGTTCTTTATGGATGCGAAACTTGGCCACTTACATTAAGGGATGAGCAGCGTCTTAAGGTTTTTGAAAATAAAGTATTGCGTAGAATATTCGGACCGAAGAAGGATGAGTTAACCGGAGAGTTCAGACGGCTACACAACGCCGAATTGCGTGAGCTGTATCCGGGTAATATAATTGATGTAATTTCATCGCGGCGAATCAAATGGGCTTGTAAAGTTGTTGGGCTTAGTAACGAGAGAATTCCTAAAAGGTTAATATTTGCTGTGCCGAATGGTAAGCGTCCGAGGGGTAGACCGAAGCGAAGGTGGGAAGATTGCATTAAAGCCGATCTGAAGGGACTGGGTTTGGACGGCGAACGGTGGAGGGAGGTGTGTAATAAGCGATTGGTGGTGTCGGCATCGAACCTTCGGGTTCGCTAAGCCTTATTATTATTATTACTTTACTGGACTATTATTAGCCTGGTCAGCAACCTCTGCTGCGATGATGGCCCAGAAGCTTGGGTCCAAACGTTGCCGAAATTAATAAACATCATACTTCTTTTATTCATCCTTATAATTATTTTTGAGAAGCGATTGAAAAAAAAAAATGTGGATTGCACGCATGACATGACATTCGCTTACTACCCTACTTATGGTGAAAAGTTAATTTCATACAGAGGGAAGAAAAAATAAAAATTATAGACAATCCAACATAATAATCAATTATCATGTTTTTTCCAACGTTCAATCTATTGCATTTATGCACATTTTCCTTTCCTTCTACAACTGTATATTTTACTTATTTATTTAATTATAAGCGTGCCAAGAATATTTTTTTATTTCGACAAGAGTCAGGGATAAGAGAGGACGCTATATTTATTTATATTTCATTGTAGGTATTTGTTTATGCATAGGTATATGTACAAATTTAAATTTTCATATTGCCCCAATTCAACCAGGGTTCTCCAAACTTTTTGGTCAGCAGGCTTCATAGAGACCTACACTAAGACTCGGGAGCCATGACTTATGATGAAAAAAACATTTTGGTTCCATAAATGACATTTCCGTGGTGAAATAAGCATTTTGAGAGAAGCTATTCATGCAATAAACTTTTTAGTAACCTTGTGTTTGTATAATATACTAAATTTCTTACTATATATATATATATATATATATATATATATATATATATATATATATATATATATATATATATATATATATATATATATATATAATATATATATATATATATATAGTTTTTACTATGTATCCAAAGATACCTTCCCATGCAGGATCTTAGGCCATAGTTAGGAGATCCCTGCCATAATCTACTGTACTATGATTCATAAAAACCATAAATTTATTAGAGCTTTCTGTGGGCATTCGTTGGAGTGCTTTGCAACTATTAAGTCATAACCAGGAACGTGGTTAGTGAAGAATTCAGAATTTTTCCCATTCGATATGACCCAGGGTCCACCTTCTTTTTGGAGAAGTGCTGGCACCTCTCAGTTTTATAACAGTGTCTCAGTTTTATAACATGTATGCTTTCACGATCTTCCACTATCAGTCGAAAGACAAATCGTGTATACTCCTAATTTGTCTTGTCAATCCTCATAACTTTTGGGATTCTATATTTGGTTAAATATGTCTTTTTAATGAGCATCTCTATAAGTCAAAAACATTGCAGGTGTTTTCCCTTTGCTCTGATTAAGTCCATTATAGACTGAGGATGTTTCGGTAAGATAGTTCATAAAACCACGATTTTCAATTTAAAAAACGCATGGAAAAAACAAAACAAATATAATGTATGATTTTTTATTTTTCCAACCATCAAATGACAAATACATCAAAACCAAAGCAGATATAAACGTATTTTATATGAGTATAAAGATGTTACTTCACTAGTTGTTGAACATTTGACTTATTGATTAATGTATATTATACATAATTGCTACTTAGTTAGCTATAATAAATGTCTAACGAAACGTAAAAATTCTGTACAGATAATTTACAATTTTCAATAAAATAATTTAATCGTAAGTAAATAAGATTCATATAAAAATAAATACATGAATAAAATCATAATGATTTTCATTACAGGTAACATACCAATTTAATAATTTTATGATGGAAATTTAATTTTTGCCACATTTTAATAGAATTACTATTATTTACTTAACACTGGAACAATATAAAATATTCATTCTAAAGAATGCTAAAAATTAATAATTTCATAATCTCAATATTCATAAAGAAACAAATAAATAAGGTTTGTCAAATTAGGAATAAAAAAAATTTAGGAATAATACCTATGATGTATACATAATAAAACAACAAAGAAAACTAAAGAAAATATCAAAAGTAAATGTTCTATAAGATAAACACTGAATTGAACTTAAAAAAATAAACCAATATTTATTTATTATTTTTAAAACATTAGTTAAAACAGGCTAAATGAATATACAGTATTCACAAGCCATTTTGTTCCTATAACCTTCAGTAGTAATGATGCAACTACGAGTAAGTTCCTAAATTCTGAGCTAATCAATGGTAAAACAATACCAATGATGAGTTTAGGAATTTGCCGTACTTTTTAAATGAGTTGCAGTTCGTAACTTTTGACGAATCTATTTATAATGACTTTCGCGTATTTATTAAAATATAGTAGAGAGAAGTGAAAAGAGAACCATTTAGCTTGAAAATGAAATAAATATGTATTATAAAAACTATTCCGAATAATATAAGAATATATCATAAAAACATTCTGTGTTCATAAATTAAGTTTCAAGAACTCAATAGGCTTTAATGCTTGTTAGTAATTATCTTTTTTGGGTTAAAGAAATTCATATGTAACTATAACAAAATATAAAATAATGTCTATAACAAATTTAATTTGAGTCGATAGAAAAAATTAATAAATAATAAATTAAAAACTTTTAACATGTTGTGATATGCTAATTTCATTAGATAAAAAATAAGATAATGCTACATGTACATTCTATATTAACCTGAGAAAGTGAGCCTTAATTTCATCATTTCCATATACACTTTAAACATACATATCAGATTTAACACCATTGATTAAATTCCTAAAAGTTAATACTTTTTAGTTAAAACTAAACATTTATACATTTAGGACCTTTGTAAATAATATTTATATTACAGGATATGAAAACTACCATTTAGAACATTTTAAAGACTGCTATCTGAACAAAATTACTTATTTTGATTCCGAAACGGGTCAGAAATAATATTAACATTTTACTAACAATAGTATTTTTCTTTATGCTAAAATAATTAATTCATTTAAAATATATAAATAACATATTCAATACAAAAATATTCAACAAAATGATATAAGTAAACTAGCAAAGAATGATAGTAATTTGTGAATGTCCTATTCACATTTAGACAATATAGATAAAACTTTAGAAGGGTGAAAAGAAATTACATATTAGTACAAAAATATAATTTCACATATTTTATCGTATTTTAAAACAATGAGCGTTTTAATGAGACACACTTTGGTAGGATAAAATAAAATTGAACTAATACTAAAACCTTATCTATCCAATGTTTATGGTACGGAAAATGCTTGAGAATCACATCTTTCAATCGTCTGAAATAATTAGTCCTAGTTACGCTTATTAAAATTAAACTTATATTCTCAAACATATGACAAAAATACTGCTTTGTGCATTTAGATAAAATTATACATATATGTTTGAGAACAATTTTCTTTTTTAGATAAACTAGTCTAAAAATCTGTTGGACCAAAATATATCCTCAAACAACTGAGATATCCATGTATTTCCACTTGAATAATAACTAAACCTAAATGAGACAGTTTTAAGGTAGGGGGCTATCTGTTCCACTGCCACCACTTCCAGCACCACTAGATAGGGCATTATTCTTGTTTTTGTTAGCTTTCGATAATGTAGCAACTTCTTTTTGTAATTGCTTGATTTTGGAAGACAACATTTCTACTTTCTTCTCGAATTCTCGCTCCGTATTCAGCATTTTGTTCCTTAATTCAGTTTCATTGGTAAAATGTTTAGCTTTTAATTCTGTTATCTGCAAAATAAATTAAACAATGGTTAAAAATATAGTAATTTTTAATATTCTATATAAACATAGTTAAATAACATTAAAAATACAAATATTTCATTATAAGTTTAAATCCGAAATCACTACCTACCTGCTGACCTAAAAACACATTATTTAAACTCAAAGTCACTTGCTCCAGATCCCGTTTTGCTATACAAGGATGGAGAAGAGGTCATTTAAAGGTTATTGCTCAAACTGTTTCTTTAAAATCACAGTGAATATTGTGTTTGACAAAAAATAACACATATACAAAATTAAATTATAGGACATTTTTTCATAAAAGGGTCTATTCATTCATTTCTTTCCTATTGGCTATAGTTTTAGAGAGAGTGGAGGGAGTTTAAAGAAAAAACTATAGGTCGTTCCACATCGAAGCTTTATGGTGTAAGTCACTGCTATTGGAAATATAATCAGGTAGACAATGAAGAGAAGCTTTGGCAATTGCACATTGACACATTTGGCAAGCAGCACTTATAATTAATTCATTCTTCTTAATGTTCTAACTTCTATACATCGACTGATATACAAATTTTAGACAATAAAAGAGCGATAAACCTAAATATCTCCCTTCATTCATATCCTTCATGGTGTTCCTTAGAAACGGTGCTTACCTTGTGTACTTACTCTATAAAGATTGGTTGAGTTTCACTTAAAATATTCTTCTTATTGATGAATGGACATTTCAATCAAACTTCTATGGAGTGATCTGTATAGAAATATGAGCAGATATTGATATTCCACGGACTGATATATCAATCTTGCAGCCCTATTTTAAAGAGGTTGGTAAGTTTTACTTGGAATATTATCTTTATTGCAGAATGGAAGTTTTAATCAATCGTCTAGCGATTAACCTGTACATAAATATGAGCTAATACTGATATTCTAAAGCCTGTTTCTAATATATACTGATATATCAGCCTTGCGGCCTTACTTTATAGAGGTTGGTAAAATTTGAATTGGAATATTCTGCCTATTACTGATTATAACATAGTGAAGAGAAGAATGGTAGGGGTGGTCAGTCAAAAAAGAAGGCAAAAATAAATGATAATATTTATTTTTACATATGCCGACAGGCCATCATCAGGGCTAAGAAAAGAACCAGATAACAAGGTATGAGAAATATAAAAATTACAGTAAAATGAAGTTGTTAGAATAATGACAATAATAAGAACAAGAGACAAATAATAATAATAATAGGTACAAATTATTATTATTTGTACAAATTATATTATTTGTCTCTTGTTCTTACTATTGTCATTATTCTAACAACTTCATTTTACTGTAATTTTTATATTTCTCATACCTTGTTATCTGGTTCTTTTCTTAGCCCTGAACTTCAGGTCGAAACGTCGGCATATGTAAAAATAAATATTATCATTTATTTTTGCCTTCTTTTTTGACTGACCACCCCAACTATTCTTCTCTTTATTATCCATGACAGTCAACCATTTACCAATTATGATTATAACATAGATTTTGCATATTGTTTTCATAATATTTCAGTCATCTTCTACATATAATTCATAAAGAACTCACTCAAGTTCAATAAATCATACAGACAGTTTATTATTAATTGTAAATTATTAATTATAAATCATATAGGTAGTTTATTAAACCCTAACTAATAAAATAAATTACACATGTTATATATAAACTTTTTCCAAGCAAAATTAATAAAATTTAATTTAAAAACTTACTGCTTTATCTTTTGTAAGTAATAAGGCGTCTTTTTGACAAATTTGTTTTTGGAGTGACGCCATTTGTTCTTTTAGCTGTGTCATTGCAACAACATGGTCAGAAGAGTTGGGGTCTACAAGATCACCTGGAGGACGATTACTCCTCATGGCTTTGGCCACAGGTGGCAATACTTCTAATCCAGTTTCTATCTTAGCTGGATCTGACCGATTATTAGCCGATCTTTTGTTATTTGTTGAACTACCTCTTGAAGATCTATAAAAAAAAAAAAATTCAACTGATAATTTTTAATAGTGCATTATTAAGTAGAATATGGCTACATTATTAGAAAGGTGCACAACAAATAAAATAAGCGCTTTTAAACAGTAAAATATAATACAAAATTAATATTTAAAGTAAAGTTGTTTCTAGCAGTAAAGTTGCTAGAACATTTGTTGTCGACCATATTTCAACCAGTTGAATGAGCCCCGGTCTAGCCTCCATCAGCCACTTAGCTCTACGCTTGTCCTCCATCCTGCAGACATGTCCATACCACTTGAGCTGGCGTTCCCCTAAGACATCCCTTACATGTCTAACTCCAACCGTATCTCTAATTGTTCTCTTCTTCACACAATCTCGTCTCGCCTTTGCAGCAACTTTCTGAGATACCTCTTTTCTGCTGACATCACTCGTGAGGCATTCTTGTCCAAGAGAGCCCAGCTCTCAGCTCCATATGACAAGACCGGGAGAGTCAAGGATACACACAACCTTAATTTAAATAATTACATGTGTTACATTAGCAGCTATATATTCTTGTGATTTTTAATAAAATATTTGAATTTAGAATGCCCGACCTGTAATATGTTAAAATACAGAACGTAGTGATAGGGATAACCCACGGCATAAGTTGGCCGTCGGCCAGTCTAGTCAGTTTCAGCAGTATTTAATTTAATTTAATCTAACGGCTCGACAGGCGCCTGAAGCTTCCCTTGGCTCTCTCAACTGCCCTTTCCTAATCATTTCGGTCAGCAGCATGTCTGCTGGATACTCCCACCATCATGAAGTCCTCAGCCACGGAGTCCTTCCACCTTCCCTTCGGTCTTCCACGTGGTCTGATTCCATCCGGGTTCCATAATATTCAGCAGCATTTATGACTATATTTTTGTTTATATGTATATATAAATATGCCTATTTAAACTTAGAATTAAAATTAATCAAACATTCCTTTCCAATCTCATTTATTTATTTTAATTTTATTGTTATTAGCAGCTGTATTGCAGTATCATAACCCTATATTGTTCATCTGCTTTTGTTAATTTATCTTCCGATCTACGTATTTATTTTTCTTATTACTTCTGTTTAGTTATTCTTTATAGTAACAGGTCTTTTAGTCAGATTTATTGTTAATTTGTATAAACAACTTAGTTTTTCTTAAGGGACTTTGTCTTCAGCCAGTATCCAACTAGTGCAGTTCTATCCTGACTTTCTACCAAGATCATCATCAGTATCAAAAATAAGTCAACACGAATCTTAATTTCTTGGAAATTTACAATTCATATAAGGCTTGATTAAAAAAAAAAATTAATAAAACAATTCTTTTCTCTATATTTTTCACTTACCTATATAAGCTTATCTATACGTATACATAATGCGATCATGAAAAGTTTTGAATCTGAGTTATTAATGGAAATAGACGTTTTAAGGTACCCTGAGTCCAAATAACCAAGTCCCACAAAATGGACTCTGTGTGCATTTGAATACAGAAGAACAAGAGTATGCGAACAACTAAAGAAAATATAACATTGCTATCTGGTTTTTATAAGTGTTATTAGAATTATACAATGCCTAAACTTCATCTAGAAAAAAGTATCCCTACATATTGACAGCCACACTGCAAAAGCAGGTAAGGAAAATGGGGTTGAGTTTTACTGGTCAATCTTGATCTGGCACATATTCTGAGGTCACAAAATGAAACTTATGATGCCTCCTTTCTTTTTTACGACCTTTTGTAAAATCCTACAGGCTCTAGGAGACACAAAACTGAATGATACCTGTGATCAAATACTCGCCTTCCGGTTAAATGTTTTACAAATTTTCATTTGAATTATCTACTTTTTGGAAACCGACTATGTTCCTTCTGTCATGGTTTGATTAATGGTAAAGAAGTTAATATAAATTTGATTGTTTTTACCTAACTGATATCTATTTATCAAAGTAGGTAAAAAGCTGTAAATTAGAATTAAATTCCTGTAAGTTATAAAAATAGGTTTAAATCACTATTTTACAGAAATAAGATCAAAAATATAATAAAAATTATGCAGGTTTTTTCATCTTCTCTGAAAATTTTTAGTTTTTGTTCTTACAGGTTTTTGCACTGTCGCTGTCGATATATTATTTTACTAAGGCTCAAAATTGATTTTGTACCAAATATAAGCTCTTGTCATGCTCGCATGTGCTACGTATTGAACATAGCCTAATATTGATTAATAATATTTAAAAATAATTTCTAACACCTGGGCGGGTACCTGAGACCCCCGACCCAACCTTTTGTAAGTGGTAATAAAAACACGTAAGATCCCCAAAGGATCGACACCACTTGAACACCCAAGGACCGTCATCATAACTTAGGATACCTGATGACCCTCTAGCAACCTTTTAGCACACTTGAGAATATTCTTAGCACACCCACTAGCAATAGAAGTACTTGACGACACATGTCGGCCAAAAACACCAAAGGACCAGTCTTATGTTTAAAGAGGACCAAAAAGCTTTTAACTCTAAGCATTGGAAGAGACGGTCGTGTACCTGCTAAAAGGGGTGTGTTCAACATATCGCTGGGGGTGTGGTCACCCCTTCTGCAACAAAAATTGAACCAATGGGAACAATTCTTGCCCCACCCAAGATATGGTAATAAAATCCACTGAGGTGGATGGAGGAAGAAGCTTTTGAGCTTATGCCACTGCCCGGCACAGAGAAGAAGTCTTATGGCATATGGCCGGATGCGACCGCCCGGCATAGATGAGGTCTGATGTAGCTGCCCGGCCCTGAGGAGGTCCCCGATGTTTTCTTCTAGCTGGAGGACTGAAACATGACCCATGTCTTCGCAGATGCAGCCATGCCATCCACCACTTCACATAACATATTAGATAAGTGATTCCCAACAATTCCTTTTTAAAGATGTATAAATATTTAATGGCAATATAAATTTTAGATTCTATCCATCTGAATCATGCCTTCACAACCAATTGTTTAGATAATTAATCAGTAATTTTTCTTTCTTATATAACTTGTAAATAAATATAATTTGTACATAAGTTATTTTAATCATGCCACCTATTTGTTTCATTATAAGCACAGGTAATGTTTGGTAATTAGAGAACAGATAAACACACAATAAGCCTTTGTGAGAAGTAATCCAATAAATTAATCATGGACCAATATGTCAAATGACATAATTTGTTTAACTAATATTTTATTAATTAATTCTGGATAATTATCCTCAATAATTATCCAGTGGCATCCCGTTATAAAAATTCTTAAAACCCAATGGACAAGTAGCACATGCCATGAATGGAGTACAATTGGGTTCAGAGTTTCCATTGAGGGTTAGCAAATCGTACGCTCTTTTCTTGTTTATCTTTCAAAAATAAATAAAGTCAATATAAACATTTCACCAGGTTTCAATACTGTTACAGTAATAAGTCAGTGGATGGAGATGGGAAGAATTGTGTTTAGAGTCACAAAGGCTCAACTTATTTAAAAAGTATTGCCATAGGATACATATCACACATCATCAATTAGGTTCCTATTAATGAGAGAGAAGAAGGTTAAATGTATTATTACTTATTAATAAATTTCAAGATAAGCTTTAAATGTGGGCGGGGTGGCCGAATGGGCTAACGCGTTGTGCCCGGCAACCTGATATATCACAAATGTTATAAAAATAGTCACGAGTTCCCGTGCCAAGGTGCCTTTTAAATCCCCGCCCACACCCCTTGGCCCGGGAAAACCCCGTATAGCCTTAACGGCGAGGAAGGGGAAGACCTCAGCTTTAAATAGTGTTTGATTAGCTTACTAATTAGCAACTGAAATAGTTCTCTGATTATTTGAAAAACTAATTAAAAGTGTACTAGTTTTCATAGGAACCTGAACAGTATCTACCTACATATTGTTGATGATTTCAAAGGGGGTTAGTGAATTGGGATAAAGCAGATCAGGGAAAAGGGTTTGTAGCCTGCCTCACAAGTTGACCTTAATAGTAGCATTGTCACAGGATACATATAACACGTCTTCGATTAGGTTCTTATTAATGAGAGAGGAGAATGTAATATGTTTTCTTTCTTATTACTAAATTTTAAGATGAGCTCTGTATACCGGGTCATGATGGACAAGCATGTCAAAAAGCATAATATTTAACATTCTCAAGTCTAATGACGCCGGTTGGAATCTGACCTGGGCAGATTGAAATTTATTTATTTATTGACATTTCACTAAGCTACAAAATTAGGGTACTGGTAAAGTAAAGCAGGAGATAAAGAGCAAATTGTTTTGAAAATTATACCCATAATAATAATATAAAAGATTTCTAAATTATCTAGAAAATGAAAAAAAAAAATCATTGAAATCAGACATTATTAACAAAGACACAGTGTATTGAAATTTGTTCATATATTTAGGTTAATCATTTTCGATATTGAACTATTATAAGCAATTGGGGAAAAAAAAAAAAATTGAGTTTTGAGTGCATCACATTTCTTTTCACCCTATTTTGTGTAGAAATAAGTATTTTTATACTATAAAAGTCAAAATTATAGTTATTACATCATAATAGTTTAAAACAATCAATTACCATGTTTTTCCCACCCATCTAATTTATTAGATTTATACGCTTTTCGTCATTTTCCATTTCCGTTTACAAAAATATATTTACTTAATTTATTAAATTATAAGGGGACTACAATTTTATTTTCTTGTTCCAACTAGATTGCCAGGCCAGAGATAACGGAGGATGGTACATTTAATTCATTACAGATATTTTTATTTGTTTAAGCATAAGTATATATAAAATTTTAATTTTCATATTGTCCCAATCTATGTAATTAAATATTAATTACTACCAGAACTATTATTTATATAAAGTACACATGTATATGTATATAGTATTATCGGACTCACAAGTTCCGATAGATATATAACATACATTACGCATGCGCTATGTTTGGGAGCTATCCTAACCTCTGGACCAAGCCTGAACACGCTGGTCTCTTCATTGGTCATTGGTTCTTAGTACCACTATACCAGCCTTTATTTCTGCTTTGATTAATTATAAATATTTTTCAGTTTATATTTATCCATTTTGTACTACTATTAACAATGTCTAATGTTTAATTATTTTAAATAAACAACATAAAGTTACTTTAGAGGAAGTCAATTAAACTTCTCCTTCCCAAAATATAGAACATTTACTTATCTTCATATTATATTACCACTTGATTATTGATCGATATACTGTGCGAATTATTCATACGGGATAACTAGTTATATAAAATATTCTATATAAAGAAAGATGCGATAGCTAAGCTATAGACAAGCACTGAACTATGCAACAATGTGGGCATGATAACCAGTAAATACAATATTAAGTTACTAAGGAAATAATAAAATTAACATAGAAAGAAAGTTGGAAAGATAAGAAATGAATGAATCTAACTAATGAATGAGTAATGAATTTTTTACCGACAATGATATAAAAGATAAAAACGAAACAGCTTGCATGACCTAGCTAATTTGGTTTAGGCAGTGTTCAGTATGGCAACTGTTTAAGCATTTTATCAATATAAACTCTTTCCTTTGTTACATCGGAACCTGCTCCATCAGAACTCAAAATATTCAAATTTCAACATGTAAAGTTCTTGAAAAATTAATTTAATGTTTTTCTCATAACTGCATAACATTTTAATACTTCCGAGACTATGATGTTGAAACAGATATAAAAAATATACATAAATAACTGATTGAGTTACACAAACTTTTCAAGATTTTTAAGCAAACAATATATAACAAGCAATGAATTTTACCTATTTTCTCGATTTTTATTTGACCTCTGAGCAGCAAGTTTTAACTGGGCTCTTCTGTCTGCATCCGATTGTTTTGTTTTTGCCAATGCTCTTTTAAATGACAATGTGCACAGCCAACAAAGAAGTTTTCCATCCACCTTAAAATATTAATAATAATCATTAATTTTTTTTTTAAGACAATAATGGAGGAAAAAACTTTTGAGTGAGTGTGTGAAGATAGAGAAAGACATGTAAAACATAATCTACTTTCAGTTAATTTCTTAACCACTATAAACACTGGTACTGATACTACTACTGATGGGAACTAGTCCAGCAAGTGGGCCTTGTTAATCCTTTTTGCCAATCCCTGATGGCTACCTAGAGGATGCTGCCACATACTAACCAGAATGAGAGTGTCAAGATTCATTTCCTAGGATAGCCAAAAAAAATATATTCAGAACCGAGCACTCTGGGACCCATATCCCAACATGCTCGGCCATCACGTCATCTCTATATATAGAAGAAATTTTTTTTTTGGAACAAATAGTATTGTATTGTAATATAAAATTTTATTACAATAGCGTTATTTATAATGTATTTGTACTATTTATTTAATAGTAATTCAGTATTAGTTATCAACAGTTTAATTTCAATTAACAAAAAAACTAATAAATTTTGAAGAAAACGAAATTTTGTTTGCAAAAGTTTCTCTTAAATTCTTGATTTTAAATAATGTTGCAGCTTGTTAAATATTAAAATGATTTAAAAGCCTGGTGAGTAAAAATTAATCCAAAATATTTTATTATATTGATAAATTGATTAAAAATTATATCAGTATATAACTTTATTGATTATAAAATTATATCAGTTTGTTTTTTTAAATAAAGAATAAAATTTCCATCTTTAGTAGTTCTTATTATAAATATCTGTACTAAGAGATTGTTCTTCTTTGTTGAAAATTAAAAGACATCTCCATTTAAAAACACATCAAACTCACTTTTGTGTGTTTTTTGGATTGGTTCCCTTCTACTGACTTCGGTCCAGTTAATATCTTTAGTTGTCAAGTTTAAAAATAAATGTAAAAGTTTCTATGTAGTTTGTATTTTTCATTTAGTTTTCATGGAAATATTTGTTTCCCGTTAAATAATAGTAATTTCCAGAAATTATTACAGATAATTTTTTATCATTCTCTATTACATTCGACAACTTTTTATGTTAGATATTAATTTTTCTACAATTTTTAGCTTTCTGACAATATATTATACATATATATCAATACTCTTATTATCGGAAATTTGTTTTCCACCTGGTAAGTTGTTTCTCCTATTTTTAATTATCAAATTCTATCATAGTTCATATTTAGACATTTCGTATTATTTCTAACTATGAGCGTCTGTTAATTATTTCAAATAAATCATATCAAAGGTACTTTAGATACCATTATGATAATTTGGCATTTAAGCCCTGTCATAGTGCATCAAAGAGGATAAGACATTTTTTATATTACATTAGCATCAGGACTTTAACCAAAATCATTAGAGCTGTTTTCGAAAAAATTGTTAAAATGTGTAAAATTGATGACGTAAAGAGGAATTTTCAGTTAGCCGATTATGACGAAAATGTTGCTGTAACATACCAGGCATATACCTACCTTAGATAAATACTATAAATTCCATTGAACTATCAGTTTTTGAACTAGGCTGTTTTCAGACACACACACAGAACATTTTGTGGAATTTGGTTATTTGGATACAGGGGACCTTAAAATGTGTATTTCCATTGGAAACTCTGATTTGAAATTTTTCATGATCCTATATTTCTTATTATTACTAACCATGAGAGTCTTAATTAAATAAATTTTGGATAAAAATTCCTTATTCAAAAAATACACTTAACAATTTAAGAATTCATACTAAAAATAGTAAAGTCTTACAATAATGAATTGTAAGATGCACTTTAGCAAGGATAGGCACTTAATTTGGTTCTTACGGTATGTTCAGACCCAAATTCAACATCCATTGACGAATAGACATTTTGTTTCCTGGTCTGAACCTACCTTAAGTGATGATCTTCTCTGAATTATCTGAACATCAAATCTACTCTTCAAAAATAAATATATTTGTATTATGAGACTAATGCAATAAAAAAAAGAAATGAAAAATGTAAAATTCTCACCTTCTTGTCATCATCCTTTCTATCAAAAGCACATTTTTGCTTGCACTGCTCACATGTAACTGGTGGTCCATATTTTCTTTCAGAATTAGTGCATCGTTGACATTTGTTACCAATAAAAGCTGCTATAATGTTACAATATTCACAGGCAGAAGGTTTACCAAACTGTTTTACATTGTGTTCACATTTGCTACATATTGTACTAGTACTTAATTTACTATAACACAAAAACAAAAAAAATAAAAATAAAAATATCTTCCAAATGAGAAATTAGAAAAAATAAGTAATCAACTGCAAAATCTGTACTCACTTAGTTTGTTGAAATTCTGACCTACAATACGTACATTTAACTATAGGAAAAGAACCTCTACAATCCTGAAAACATGAAAGAATTTTTATTAATTGAAATTCGACACATTGTAAGTTCCTTTTATGAATAATACAACATGAAAAAAGCTGTTTTTATAATTTTATAATGAATGAAATATATATTTCTGAAAAAAAAAGTTGGGAAATCAGACAGCGAATATTAAGTTTAATAGAAAATTTAATATACTTGAATATAAATTATACTTGAATAAGAGATATATTGGATATATAACAGTAAAATATAAGTGCATGTAACAAGCAAGACATACAAATATTTGATAAAAATTCTTAAGTTAATAAATAATAAAGTGTAGTAAATACGGATAACAGAAAGGAGGCTATTTTAGAAGTATAATTAAGGTTTAAGTCTCATAATTATTAAAATGTATTTATTAATAACTAAGTCATATATAGAAGCCTATTTAAGCATTATTAAGACAATTCGTAGACTAGTCACGTTTTTTTATTTTTTTGTGATAGCATATATTTGAAAAATACAGAGCAGAAGAGTTACTAGTTAGATACGAATATGTCGACAAAACTTAAAGGAACAAGAAAAAGTAATAATATATCAATACCACTTTATGAATTGCAGTGTAACCATACGCATCTCCACAGAAAAACCCAATGATAGCATTTAAAACAAAAATTGAAGTGATATATTGCAAAAATATAGATTTAACATTCTAGAAATCATTAAATGCAATTAGATATTTATTATTACAACATTGCATTTCAATTATACGACAACAATGATTAAAATAAAAACTAATTTCAATTATTATTATTATTTTTTTTTGGTTTATTGCACCGTGACCCTAATAGATCTATTGTGCGCCATTATGCAGTCTGTTTTATTCTTAAAAACGTTAGTTTAGTCGCTTCTGCGAATCTCAATAGGCTTGTCGGATTAACAGACTCATAGCTACTGGAGTGATCTATTCGTTTCTCCCCAAATAGCTCCAGTCTAAGTGTTGCAAATCTATTACATCGACAAATGATGTGAAAGGCTGTATCATTCTCCTCCTGACAGAATTTGCATAGCAGGTTCATAGTCACTCCGTAACTCAAACAAACGACACATAAATTAATTTAAGACAATTACAACCCTGATCTAAGCCAATTACTGTTTATTTCTCATTTAACAGAACTTTTTTTATGAACTTGAATAAATAAAAGTTAAATTTTACAGTAAATCTAGAACTTTAATTTTAAAAAAGTTCCTTAGAACATGTATTTTCAGAACTTTTTCCTATAAAGTTTCACAGGAATTGTTAAAATAGAACTTTTTAAAAAGGTTCCATTAAAGTTCCAATCTCTGTTGAAAGGCTAATTTTATGCGAAAAAATCCTTTATACGAAGAAGATTAATTTATGTTTTAAACAATATTAGACCATCACCTCCTGAATCAAATTCAAATGATATTAGTCTGTCGATATACATTTGCTAGATGCAACCGGCAGAAACTTTTCTATAACTGCCATTTTAAAACTCAAAATTATTCTTACCCATAGGAATTTGCATAATGACAATGTATATTTATATATCATTGCTATTACTTATTTTTAAATAAAATGATACAAATGAAAAAATTAAATATACATTTTTCAAAACAATCAGGTACGAAAAAAGACAGAAAAACTCTTTTATTCATCATTCCATAGTGAATCCATAGAAGGAGGAATGGAAAAATTAAGGTTGGTCCACTTACCAGTTACTAAATTGGTCCGATCAAGTTTTTGTTTTAGAACTTGTGAAAACAGGCAATTTGCTGCATCAAAACGTATTTTATTTAGTGTATTTGATTTTTTGAATATGCATTCAAATACATATTTAGTCTTAATTTCCCAATATCAGGGATCATTAATTTTGGTTTATCATTTTCAATAATCAACTATTGTTGATCGACCAAAAAATTCAAAAACTTAACCGCCTCACAAAATATGAGATTCCAAGTTTCAGGATGCGTAGAATTCGAAAAACGATTTTTTGTCTGTCCGCCCTCCACGTATTTTCTCCGAAACTACTGGACCGATTTTTTTCAAATTTGGATATAAAATCAGAGGTCACCCGATGATGATCCTCCTTCCATGACATTACTATCCACCTTTTACTTTCAAAATGGCGGCCAAAAACCTGCATTGCTATAGACTGTAGTTCCTAAACGAATGCACCGATTTCAATGAAACTTCCCTAAAGTCATTTTCTTGACGCCCTTTAAATTTATCTGTATAACATACTTCAACGAAAAGAAACTGGAAAAAAAGTTACGAGGGATGGTAAAATTTAATTCCGAATAACTCAAAAAGTATACACTTTTTTGTTGATGTTGTATTTGGTTTTTAAAAAGTTTACGGAATTTCCTAAAAAAAAAAGTTAAAATCAAACAATTATGAGCGAAGATATGGTCTCCAGTTCTTTTTTATATGTTCTCCTCCAAATGTTATATCCTTTGCTTGGTTTTTAAATTTTGAATGTGTTACTGAAGTTATGATATTTTTTTTTTAGCATATTACTAATGATTAAAAAAAAAAGGTTAGTCCAATAATTGGAATCACCTTTTATTTATTTTTCTTTGTAACTAGGAATCTAATGTTACTTTAGATCTATAGTTTTTTGGAAATAATAAACCATTGTGAAATAATTTGCAGCGTTTTTTTTAATAGGAGCAGGTATATTTTTTCATAATTTACAATTGTGTTAAATTTGGACTAGTTCTGAATTTGAAACAAATAAAAGCTTCCAGCACTTGATCATCAACTTCAGACCAAGTTTTAAAGCAATTGTTTGAACATTTACCATAATTTGCAGTAATGAATTCTGAATTGTCTAGAAGTACCTTTTTAACAGATTTGTTAAACCTTGCATTGTGCTTATTGCAAATTGTCCGTTGTTGTTTTTACCTACTATTATTGGAAATAAGAACTCTGCTGTATTTTCATTTCTTTACCTGTACTTATGTTGACAGAACTTTTCAACATAATTACAGATAAAACTATAAATGAAAATACAGCAGAGTTCTTACTTAAAAGCAACAAAAATTTAGAGAAAATGCAATAAAGAGGTTTTAAGTGTGGAATTAATCGCTGATCTCACCCTATGGCCCAGGAAAAAACCGTTTAGCCTAAAGGGCGAGGAAGAGGACCAAAATAAAAATAAATAAAAACACTTTTGCAATATCTATCTTTAATTTTTTGATATTCTGTCAGATATGTAGATATTGAAATACTGATTTCCAGTAACAAAAGTAATTTTATTGTCCAAGATAGATAAAGAAATTCATCAGTTATCGCTTGCAGATAGCGGATTTATTCGATGTATCTTCTTATTTTAAGTGGTGCAGGCAACATTTATTTTTCCTAGAATCTTCAAGTTTTTGGTTTTAAAACAGGTTTCCAGCATGGGATTTTTATAATTTAAATTCAACCTTCCAATATACCCGCACATAAATTGGTGTCTTCTTACAGCAAGTGAAGCTAGACCAGCTTCTACAGATAAACTATTATTGGCTTAGTTCTGAAGGCACCTGACCAAGTAAGAAGAATTTGGCAAGAGTTTGGATTAGGATCATCAGGAAATATGAAGAGGTTCTGACCAACTGTAAAGCTCCTGAAAGGAATCTATAAGCAATATCAAAGACAAGAATGGGCACATCATTTCTGAGACTGAAAGAATCCTTGACTGATGGAAAGATCATTTTGAAGAGCTCTTTGTGAAAGAAGATTATAAGATTTCTTTATTCAAAGTAATGGTAATACAAGAAGAGGAGAATAACCGATTCCAGAATCCATCAAATATGACGGCCTAGAATTAAAGAATGCTCTGCAAGGGTTGTTTTAAGAAATATGTAATTCCAAAAGAATACTAGACGATTGGAACTATATTGTTATAATTCTCATCTATAACACTATTATGTGTTCGTTCTCATCCTAAACACTATAACGTGTTCATTCTAATCCATAACACTACAATGTGTTCATTATCATGACCCTATAGCTTGGAAATGAGTTACCTAAGAGCAAAAATCCATAGACTAGAGCCACAACGTTCATAACCGGCCACTTTGAGACCCACGTTCCAATGTGTTCGGCCATCCCGTTCTCAGGCCATAACACTACTAATAAAATGAACAATATAATTTCATGCCTAAATGCCACTAAAACACGTTGAAACCAAAACGGTTACCCTTTAGTATCATATGTTTAATTTTATAACATTAAGAAGTTTCCAGTCCATAGCACCATATTGATCAAAAATATTACAACACCTCATTATATAATTCATAAACTCGAATCGGGCAACACTTCTAAACAATATTCACAAATAATTAGCCAGATAGTATGACTGGTAAATGACAATAAACAATAAATGATATAGAGAAAGAGGAGATACATGTACCTTGTGTCCGTTTATTTAATCCTCCATAACTTCATAAATAACAATGATTTTTAAAAATTTTATGATAAATTATAAAATAAAGTAAAGAAAAATTGTTTTTTCAACACTTCAAACACTATTTGATATTATCAAAGAGGGTCAAAGCCACTAAATTCTGCCCAAAAGGGTTCGTTCCAGCAGTGTAGCCTACTCTATTTTGTCACAAATTCTGAAATTTTTTGGTTGAAACTTCTTTTTCTCAAAACATGAAACTTTTCTTTCCAATCTAGATGTATCTCGCTATTGTGTTTCATCTGTGAGTGATTAAATGACTTAGTTGGACATTTAAATGCCATATACCTATATTTATCTTGTTATTAAATTCTTTTTAACCCCTAAATAAAATAAACATGCTGGCATGATATTTAGGGTGGGAGTAACGTACAGTAATAGGCATTGAGTAGTTTCCTTCTAGATGTTATAACATAAAATTGAGGTGCAAAAATGTTTGAGGTGTAATTATTTTCATAAATAATTAAAAGTGACAGTGTATCCATCATTAAATAACATGGTATATTTTACCATGCAGCAAATTTCCATTAGATCCTTGCCAAATTAAGCAATTTCAAATGTTACTAGCAGATAGAACTACATTACACTACTAATTCATTCACATTTCAACTGTGTCTGAAATTTCTTTGGAAGGTACACAGTTTTGTTGTGAGTAATGTCTAAGAGTAAACACAACTTCTGTAATTGTGTAAGAACCTTGTCAAACCGAATATCATACCAAAATAGCCTTTTATCAATTAGTAGTACTTAAAGTCTTTTAAAAGTACAAAATGCATGGGACAAACTAAAACAAATACCTATTATGAAACGACTGAAAGCCTGTTATTAATGAATTTATAATAGTAAGAATAATGTTAATGGATATTTAAAAACTTTATATTCAATTTCACAAAATTCAACCCATTTCAAAGGTAAACAAAAGATAATAGTTTTACAACAAAAGTTGAGTAAGGAATTAAGGAACAAACTCAATAATCGATTGATCTTGACAACATAATTCACTACAAAATGAAACCACCACAGAGTGCTGAAACATCATAATAGATTTAAATATAATAAAATATTTTAATAGAGCTTCAACATTTTCATTGAAAGCCTGAAGTATTAATTAATTTAATTGTTTAGTAAAACTGTTTTTCCAAACTGCTAATGTTCCAATGGAATAAAACTTGAATGAATGATTTATGAGATGAATTTTAAATAAAAATGCTTTAGTAAAGATGACATTATTGTTAGGGGTTCAAATTCTTACTTTACATAACTGCTGTCCAGACGAAAGTTCTTCAAACGGATGTTTAGAGAAACACTTCGAACACGCAAAAAGTGGTACACTATTACTCATATTACTTAAAAGTGGAAATCAGTTAAAAAAGAAACCTAAAAGTAAACTAGAAACCAAAACAACTTCAAAGAACACAAAACAGCCGTTAACAACCAAACATCGAGATACGAGAGAGTTATGATTTCGCCAGGTTATGGTCTCGGTTTAACAATTCCTTTAGGTTATATTTTAACTTCTTTCTTTTCATCCAAGCAGGAATTAAAATTGAAAATTTTTTTCTCAAATAAAAAAAAATCAATAAAATACAAAATTATTAAATGCAACTTCAAGTAGACCAATGATTCTATAGGAACTCAATCAGGCTAAAATAAATAATTCTTTGTTAAACACCCTTTGTTAATTCAGGCTCAGAACTATTTAGGAGCAAAGGGACCTTACTCCGAAGAGTAAAATTTCGATGGCAGCAATTTTCGAGGGAAAAAAAAATAATTTCTTTCTTTCTACCTTTTTTTTTGTCAGTTATTTAATCCATCCTCATCTACTGCTGAGCAGTGTGAGGCTTTCATCTATAGAGTCTATTGAGTTCTCAATCTATAGAGTCCTTGAATTAACTATTTAAGGAATTAGTGGCCTCAAAACCACGAAGAGTCTTAGGATGTTTACTACCGGAAAGGCCATGTATTACATTTGGAAGGAGGATTATTGATGCGGGGATACAGGGTGGTCGTTCCTAAACAGCTGAGACACAGAATTCTTGAGGAGCTCCATAGGTCTTATCTTGGGATAGTGAAGATCAAGTCTTTGGCAAGATCTGATATGATGGCCCAAATTAGACAATGATATCGAAGAATGTATAAAGAATTGCCAAATATTCTTAGATTCTCCAAAGTCTCCTATGGTTCTATGGCCACGAGGGCCCTGGGAATGAGTACATATTGATTATACAGGACCGATAGGGGATAGATATTATTTGATTGTTCTGGACACATATTCTAAGTGGATGGAGGCGATTCCATCTAAGAGCGTGACTGCAGAAGATACTATAAGGGTATTAAGAGATTTATTCGCACGTTTTGGAGTTCCTAGACAACTTGTTTGTAACAATTATTCATCTTTCTATTCCAGAGAATTCGTAAATTTTCTCAAAAGTGACCGAACTGAGCAGAGATCAGGTGATCCATACCACCCACAAACAAATGGGGCTGCAGAAAACGCTGTAAAACCGTAAAGAGAGCGATAGGAAGTTTGATACTATCATCAACTTCAAAAGAAAAAGATTTATCATTTTTTTTAATGCATTATCTCAACTTCATACATGGTACAACGGGCAAATCACTAGCTGAACTGCTTCTTAGAAAACAATTACGAATACGGCTAGATTTACTTTGTCCTGATTCAGTGAATAAGACCGTTCACAGAAACCAAGTGGAGTATACCAGAGGTACGAAGGTTGTGAAGTTTAGTTTAAATGGGAAGGTATGTGTGATGGATGACTCCCAGCATTCAAACAATGGACAGACGACATCAGATGTCTCTGCTGCACTTGAGAATGCTCTACAAGAGAGGAGACCAGGACAAGGAATCGCCCAAAGCTTATAGGCCTATCTGCCTTCTCCCTGTCGTCAACAAGGCCCTGGAGCAAATGATGGCCGCTAAACTGAGACCAATCCTCAAAGCAGCTAGCCAACCACAGCAGTTCGGCTCGACACGTGGAAAGGGAACCACAGATGCACTGCTGAGAATGCGCAGGAATGTGGAGGGTAAGACGGAGAAGTAGGTCCTTCTGATACTGTTTGACATATCCTGCGCCTTCGACAGTGTATGGTGGCCCTGCATACTCCAGCGGTTGCAAGAGCTTGACAACCCCCCGTAACCTTAATTCTCTGGTAGGCAGCTACCTTAGTCACAGGACCGTCAAGATCAGGGGTAACTACTATGACGTCGAGAGGAGAATAGAGAGGGGCTGTCCGCAGGGCTCAGTCCTGTGGAAGCTCGTTTTCGAGCAGTTGCTGGGGGGACTGTAAAATAGGGGTTTTCTTGCCACGGCCTATGTCAACGACCTGGCGGTCATCGTGGCTGAGAACAGCAGAGCCAGACTAAAGACGGAAGCGGAGAGGTGCTCCAGCCTAGTATCAGAGTGGTGCGTGAGGTGAAAACTAACCATGGCCGCTGCCAAAACGCAATGCTTATAAGAAATTCCACGGACAGGGCTCACCCTATCAACCTGGACATCCAAGGTGCAAGGATCAGAAGGAATTTCGACGTAACTCCTCACCTGGAGTATCTAAGGAATAGGGTGACCCTGATGATGAATGGTCTCCGAAGAATTGGGAGTCCTTTCTGGGGGCCTCACGTACCCGGCAACCATGACAATATACAAAGGAGTCATCTTGGGTATCCTTAGGTACTAATCCCCCGCATGGAGCCGAAGCCTGACGCAAAACCACAAACGACGACTGGCAATCATAAACACTCTCAGAAAGTTTTTCCCCACCGTTCAAGACAGACTCAAGGCGACCTGGGTCCACCCTTATTATTGGGTCTCGCCTCGCAGATTCTCACAGGACATGGTGGGTTCCAGGGAAAGCTGCCTGACCATGGGAAGGATATAGACCCCCCGATGCCCTCCCTACGGAGTCCCAGATACGGCCGAACACATCCCGGCATCCTGCACCACAATAGAGGGACACCGTGCAAAATTGGTGAAGGTAACGGGAATGTATATCTTAACAGAAGAGGATTTATCCCGCTGGTGGAGAGATGCGATCAGCCCTGCACATTTCTCCCCGGGAACGGTAAGAAGACCACCTGAGGAGGCCGAAGAACATTAAGAAAGGACCAAACGGATGCGGTGCGGACCCATCATAAGAGTGTACAACGCTATACCGGGTCGCAGCACAGTTAATAAAAATAAATAATTAATAAATAAATGATGATTATTGACAGCAGTGGGCATACGAGAACACAAACCTATTAACACACTGCTGCCAAAATCCCGTATGGTAACAATACCAGGTAGGGCGAGAAAAAAAAGAAAGGATATCTCTGCTCCTCATCAGCCACTGGATAATATTCCGGACCCTTACAAGTCGCCTCGGCCTGTTAGGAACCGTCATCCACCCAGACGTCGTATTGAAAAAAATTGAATAGTTACTTTTTTTGGAGGGGGGAAAGTTGTAATGTTTTATCGAATTTACTTTTAGTAAATATTAATCAATTACATTTTTGTAATGAGTTTGTTACTTGGCAAACAAAACAAGTTGTTGATTGTTTATTTTGTTGTACTTATGTAAAGAGTGAAAAATAAATGTGTTCTCTGAGTTATGATATTTCTGTAATGCACTATAATTATTTAGATTTCATTGTGGTGATTTTTATTTCTTTAAGTACCGGTATAAATAAGGAAAGGCAAATAAATCTCATGAGTTCAAAATAGGCAACATTTGAATAATTTATACAGTGGTCTGTATTTTATGAATTGGTAGGTCGTATGAATCGTACAAAAAATTATCCATTTATGCTGGCTTAGATATCTTATTGTTACCCGAGGGCGCCCTCGGATCAGGTGTTGTCTCTGGCTAGTTGTGTGATGGAATGGGCCGTCATACCGGGAGCTAGTATGAATTAAATTTGATGGTTCATATCTAATCTGATCTGCCTCCATCACTCGCCGCAACGAGACGATTGGGCATTTTCTTGGCGCAAACAGTCGGAATCCGTATTATATTATAGTCCGTAGTACAGAGCCCTTTTGTTCATATTATTAGCATCCTCCTGAAACTTCATAAATAGATTCATCTCATCGTAACCTACAACTACTTTATATACGAAAACTCTTGGAATTGGGACATTTTCAAACTAGAGGTCGGAAAACTTTGTCGATTTTATTACATACTAAAAACTCGTAAATATTCATTTACTTTGCACTTGCATCGTAAGATAATTTGTTCACAAAATCGTGAAAAAACATCGCTTTCAAAAATAGGAGCAGTTCGGCGAGACCCGAAATTGTCAAAATGACGAAGTTATACCTATATAACCATAAACCTTATACCTACCAAACGGCTCAACATTTTTGTAGGCCATATTTTTTATAGATTTTGTGATCAAATTATCTAACGATCCAAGTGGAAAACCAATAGGAATTTACGAGTTTTTTTTTAAATATTTTTTATTGAGAAAAAAAATACATTTTGCCTCAATTAAGAGCATTGAGTATTTGGGATGTATGAAACACAATCATACCATGATTTTTTTAGTACTTAAGTAAATACACAGTTTGTCAACCACCAGATTGAAAAGGCTCAATTACAAGTTTTTGTAAATAAAATAGTTGCAGATTAAGATGAAATGAAGCTATTGATGAAGTTTCAGGCAGATGTTAATAATTTGATGAAAAGGGGTCTGTACCACAGACTATAATATAATATGGACTCGGACAATATTACATACATTAACATGTGGGAGTTTCATAAATGATATAGTTCATATTATTTAATATTTAGTATATAGAAATCAGCGTTATAAAAATTAAAATTTGTATACATATATCGGTAATTAAAGAAATAAAAATAATTATAGCTGCCTTCCTTATGGCCTTTGAACTGTGGTGAATATCACAAGTCTGTTGAGTGAACCAAATCAACATAAACTATAGCAGTTTGGGTCATAAACCTGAAGGGCTATCCGTCTAGAAAGGTTGCCAAATCTATAAGAATCTCAAATCAAGACAACAGATACTCGGAATCAAAATTGAAACAATCTGATCAAGGAGAGAATTTAATAAAATCCTGGCATCCTAGGCATAATTAGTCAGAGGTGGAAGCAAAAGCAATAGATATGAGGCCCCATGATACGTATACCATAACTTCCTCAAGCCTGGAACTCAACATTTTATTATTCAAAATATATCTAATTCTCAACTTAAACATAAAATTCTCACACTCCCCATTTATCAAATACCACAGATCATACCAGTTTATTTACATCATTCCTCTCTGTATTCAAACTCCATGTTACTCCTCTGACATCACTTCTTATTAATTAAGTATTCAACCTTGCTTCTTCTTTGAAAAATCCTTATATGACTTCAAAGAAATCAGTATTTATTATCCTTTCAAATGGGAATGATATTAAAAATCATAAGATGAACTAAATTCCTAAACCTTATTACTTAACAAAAATCGTTGATGTGAACTTGCCTAACCTCTAAACAGTTTTTCAAAATACCACAATAGTTTGGATACTGAACTGACCAACCTCTTTCTCATCATCTACTCCCTAAGCCTATTCAGGATTTCCTATAAGCCACTGCTGTAATTTATAAACTCTTGCTCAGCATATTGCCCACCTAACCAATTCATACTGGATAAACAGTTCAGTCCCCTCCTCAATTCCTTAGGACATCATCTTATTCTAGGTGCAGATTTAAACACCAAGCATCAACAATGGGGTTACAGAACCACAAATTCACGTGGACAAACATTGCTGTCTGCACTAAATTCCCATTGTTCAACCTTCCTTCCCCTAGCTCTCTTACCTATTTCTCCACCATATCCACGATATAAACAGCGGGTTAGGCCCCCTCAATTATTGTCTAAATGAATTCTGATCTGATGACCCACTGTTTTTCATTAGAAGTCTAATTACCTGGAACATTTTTCATCAAATCCTTTCTGACAAAAATGACCTTAGATATCATTTACTAATATTATCAAACAAGCTGTCTGGACTGCCTCCGCCCCAATCGAGTCATCCAGAATTCTTGATGAAAATACTTTATCTCGACATCTCCCGGATCTGATGCATTGTAACGCCATGCCATATCATTATGGCAACATACCAGACATCTTGCCAATCGCAGCACCTACAACTATTACTGCAAACAATTAAAGCTAAAATCAGCCACCTACAGATTCTAATCCTTAATTCCTACCTGACCTTTCATTCTGCACATGGATACAAAATAGTTGTCCAGACATGCCTCATTGATATAAGAGGAATGTTTAGTTGTGCACAATTTATTTAGAATTATCTATTCATTTATTTTAATTTAATTAAATATTTATTTGTAGATCAATATATTCATGCTTTTTTTTTTTATTGTAATGTTAATTTAGGATATTTTTACCTGATTCTGGTATCAGATATTTTTATCTGATACCTGGACTTGATACACTGAAGAGTAGATACCCGAGCGGTATGCATACCAGCGCTAGGGCTTGTTATCCCAATAATTCTATCAGATATTTTAATCCAACTGTAATTGATTAGTGATCAGGTTTAATGTTTTTAATATCTATTTGATACTTAATAAAATATATATTAAATATGTACCTAAGTATATATATATATATATTTTATTCCTTTATTATTACATTTGTCCCTTTAATAAATACTTTACACCATTTTTAAATATAATAGTTTTAATGACTATATAGTTATGTCAGGTACAATGAAAATATGTACACAATTTTTTAAACAAAATATTTTTGACAAAAGAATGGAATATATTTAATTAAAAATAAAAATATAACAAATTCATGCAGAGAAAATATTTTTCTAATAAAATTTTCTAAAGAATTTTTGTAACAATTAAAAAAATTCTTTAGAATCTTTCATTAGGAAAACATTTTCTCTGCATGAATTTGTTATATTTTTATTTTTAATTAAATATATTCCATTCTTTTGACAAAAATAAAGCATATTTTGTTTAAAAAAGTCGTGTATATATCTGTACATATAGTATCTGACATAACTATATAAATTAGAACTATTATATTTAAAAAGGGTGTAAAGTATTTATTACAGAGACAAAATTAATAATAAAGGAATAAAATATATATAGATACATATTTAGTACATGTTTTATTAGGTATAAAATAGGTATTAAAAATACCAAACCCGATCAGTAATCAATTACAGTTGGATTAAAATATCCGATACAATTATTGGGATATCAAGCCCTAGCACCAGTATGCATACCTCTTGGGTATCTACTCTTCAGTGTATCAAGTCCAGGTATCAGATAACAATATCCGATACAAGTATCAGATAAAAATATCTGATACAAGTATCAGATAAAAATATCCGATACAAGTATCAGATAAAAATATCCGATACAATTATCAGATAAAAATATCTGATACGAGTATCAGATAAAAAGTAATAGGAAGGACACACTACTGACCCATTTATATTAGATACAAAAAAGTACCCGTATCAGTTGTATATAGATACAAAAATTCCAGTATCAACCCATCCCCAGTCCTATGTGACTATTACTGATGTTACTTGTTGATTGTAATTGCCTAATGCATTATGCTTTCAATACTCTTCAGAAACAAAACAATATTATATCTACTATCTTTTAACCTAACGTTGATATAACATCTCATATAGATACATATTAATTATATAAGTGAGGGGAGCAATATTTTTTGGGAAAGGGAGGATCGACACCCCTGCTTTTCTAAAATTTTAGGTTTTTCATTTCATGGTACCCTCCATTAAACCAAAATCGAATAAAATAAATATATTTTTTATTGTTTTTTTTTAATAAATTGATTAATTAAATAATTTTATCCTTTTTAAATTAATAAAAGTTATTTATTTTAGAAGCAATATTCTACTTTTAAATCACTGTCCATGCCATTATAATTAAAGAAAAAAGATAAAAATATGTTGTTTTTTTCCAGAAACAATACTAGAGTAAAAGTTTCAAAAAAATGTTCTGATCGTCTATCTATAAGAATGATGTATGCATTTCTAAACCCAAGACCCTTCATGGATTGTATTGGTACAGGTTAGATAAAATAACTATAAACCAAGTACATGTTACATATTGCAGTTAGAACCTTCTCAAACAAATTACTTTCAAAAGTTGTCAGCAGTTAGAACTATGTCATACGACTAGTTTCTTTATTTTCGAACTGATGGCACTAAAATTCATTTGGAACATACATAACTTTATTGTGAGCGATTTCAGCATGAAAACTCAATTTGTCTAATTTACTTAATTAGAATCTTTTCAAACTCAGCCCCACGTTAGTTAGGTTATGCTTGAAGGTTATTTATGGGGAAATACTTAGCTGAAGAGCTTGTTACATAGAAGAATATAATATTTAAAATTTTCTTGGGTAAGTTCACACACTACAGTGCAATTCTAAGTAAAAGCATACTATCAAACACTTAATTGGTTTAAATAATTTTAAATTTAATTTTTTTATCAGAAACATACATTGGGTCATTTAATGAAATTTCTTATGGAATAAAATTTTTTAAAATCATGTAAAAATGTATTTTATTTCCTCAAAAAATAAATAAAAAAAGACAGTGCTATTTCAGTAATCCGAACTTTCAAAATACTAACCACTCAAAAAATATGAACAGTAAAAATTTTAAAAAAAGAAAGAGGAAAGGAAAAAAAAAAGATGCAGAGAACCAGAAACAAATTTCTGACAAAAAATGTTTACCTACTTAATCAAATTTACAGGAATTTCATTAGATCATATGGACCTAACACACTCACTATTCCTGAGGTTATTTTCAGAGTATCTCTCATCTTCTTCCATAAAAATTAAATATGAGTAACGTATGAAGTGAAATGTCTGGTTTCAATAACTGTATTCGATGATAAACACAGGATCACATGCCATGACAACAAATCCTTCTCTTCCAACTTCTATGAGAAGAAACAGTGAGGAATATCCTCTAAAAACCAAAACAAAAAAAAACCAAGACATTAAAAAAAATATATATACACGCAAAAATAATGTTTTTACATGTATGTATCCTACTTGAATATATTTATTGAAATTTATATTTTCTTGCTTGTAGTTTTCCAAAACGCCCTCAAAAAACACAATCCAAATTTTTTTGGTGATCCAAACAATCTCCAGTAGCAATTAGTTCGGATTACTGAATTTTCACTGTAAATCCTTAAAAGTAGACATTTTATTTAATAAATCTCATGGCTACTATTTTTAAAGAATTTGTCAAAAACACTGTCACTGTACATAAATAAGCTTATTTTATGGAAATATTCTTTAATGTTTTACAAGTTATCTTTCCTTTTCCAGTAACCAAAATGTTACCTTGCCAAGCAGCTTCACAATTAGAAGTTGTTTTGAAATCCACCTGAAATCAAATCACATAAAAAAATTAGAAAAAATGCTAAGTTTAAAAGATAATCATATTCTTGTTTGATATTCATGGAGAAAGCGACTGCTGATCATATAAAACAGACAAAAGATCAAATTGTTGAAAGTGACAAATAACCAAAAGTGTAACCAGCCAAGTTCGTCCAGTCAAATTGTTATGAATGGTAACAAAAACTAGGGTTTGTTATTGATTTATTGATATGTTGATTGTGTTAGTGAAATGTTGAAAAATCCAGGATTTCCAAGAATTTCCCAGCACCAGGAATAATAGCATTTAGAAAAATCTGATGTGGTACGAGCATCACACAACTTTTACTTACCACCATCTCCTTAACAGAAATAGGTATTTTCAGACAAAGGGGAAGTGAAAGTAAAAATTATAGATGCCTTATTTATTTATATTTCATAGTCGGTATTTTCATTACTTTAAGTACCTATATATATATATAGGGCTGGGGGTAGCCATGCGAGCTAAGGCGCTTGCAATACGTAACCAAGTTAAGCAACGTTGAGCATGGTAAGTATTTAGATGGGCAACCGTCACCAGAGAAAGCCACGCTGCCTGAGACCCCTCTCCAAATTTAAGAGATCTATCAGGCTACTGGAGGCTAATCACACCGACGGGGCGTAGGACTGATGAGACTATTCTTGTGTTCTTAAATCAGAAATCTGGATGTGGTCCAGAAGACTACACTCACGGTCAAAGATCTACAAGGTCTGTAGCGCCAACCGAAAAAAAAAAAAAAAAAAAAAAAAAATAATATATATATATATATATATATAGATAGACACACACAAATTTTAATATTTAGGGGAACACCTTTTTCAGAGACCACATTAAGTTCCCAGACAAACCCATTGATAGTTATATAAATGTACAAAGCAGCATTTTACACAAATAACTTGTTTTCTTTAAAAGTGTGGCTTATCAAGCTCTTCTACATAATTTTTAAAACCTAAATAATTAATTTCAGTGCTAAATTAATGAAAACTACCTGATAACATTTAGAGGCTGCAGATAGCTCATGGAGGTTACATACAGCCTCCTCACATGTGGTACATAGCATAAAAAAAAAATAATTTAAGCTTAACCAACCTGCAGCTTCTCCCATATTTTCTTCTTTGGGTTTAAAACTGTATCTGGTGGAGACTCAGGACTATTTTCATAATTTTCAAAGTAAGCTCGATCACCAGGACTTGAATCAGCAGGAGGATCCAAAACTTCAATTGTTTTACCATTTGCATCTTCACTGAAGAAATGGTTAGATCACAAATCGTATAATACTGCAGAATACAAATGATACCAACATGATTACTTACTGAGATGCACATAAAACCATACCACAGGATTCTATTCCTCTCATTTTGGCTGGTTTCAGATTACATAATACAACTACAAGCCTATTTAACATTTCATTTTCAGGAACATATTTTACAAGTCCACTAACAACAATCCTAGGAGTAGTTTCGCCTAAAAAAAAATAAAAGATATAAGAGTACTTCAACTTTATATAAAGTGGCAAACTCTGGAAAAAATTAATGAATTGGGGTGGGAGGTACTGCCTCACTCACTATACACGCCCGATGTTGCAACATCGGATTTGCATTTATTCCGATCAGTTCAACACTTTCTAAGTGAAAAAAGATTTGCAAATTTGGATGATATTCAAAATACCATCTCTACTATTACACGGTGGGCCAGATCCCCTTACCGTGCACCCCCCCACATCCCTATAAATTGCATATCGTTGTGTTCCTTGTAACTATTTATTTAAAAAAAGATAATGTTCCCACAAAAAAAAGTGAACGCACTGCCCCAAAATGGCGTCCAAAGACGGCGGATTGACGACTTTGACTTTAGTTAGTTTTTTGGTCACTGAGAATCAGTATTTGACTTAATTTTCTCATAGTTGGTCTTTTATTAAAGCTGAATAGTCATAGAATAATAAAACATGAAGAAATATTAAAAAATAATTGGTTTAGGCTATGAAAAACACCAGTAAAGTCAATTTTTTTGACAAAAAAAATTTCAAGTTACAAATCAAGCATCGTTTTTTTTCTAAAACGCTTTTCTTTTTCTAAACGCTGATTATTTTTTAAAAAATTTTAAGCGGTTCCATAGAAAACGGACTTATGCGGCAGAAAAGCGGTAGTGGCGTGGGTGCCTACAGGCCTCTACCACACCATTCAGTACACATAAATGACTTAGTTATAGTGATATAATAATTTTTTTGGTACATTATATTGGTTTTATTAACGAACAAATATTAATGCAATAATTTAATTGTAAAAAAAAAATTAAAATTAATAAAAAAATTATTATTTTTTTTTTAATTTAACCTCCTTTATTTTAGTTTAAGAAGACCTCAATCGTAAAAATGATATAATTATAATAATAAAGCTTAATTAAGAAATACTTTCCTAAATATCTTGATTTTTTTTTTATTTAACGTTTGCAATTTAATACTGTGTTTTGTTTATTTACTGATTCTTAGAGGTAATTAAAAATTTTATATACTTCCCAGGAAATGTGTCATATTAATACCTGTTTTATAAACTAAAATAATATATACCTAATCTGAATTATATATAATGAATAGCTACCGGGTTATTTAGTAAAACTCATATATCTCTAATTAAAAAATTAATTTTTATTTCCTTTATTTTGTGCGGAAGTTGGACTATATCATAAATAAATAGGAAATCTTAATATTGAATGAATTATTCTCTATGCACAAAGAAAGAGAGAAAGGGTGACGCCATAAGTTCTTCTATAAACCAGAACTGATTGTTTGTTTTTGGTATCAAAATGAGGAAAAATGCGAAATTGAACCAGAAAATTGGAAAAATACATTAAGCGAACTGGTGGTGGTGGGAAAAAAACTGGAGCGAACGAGAACTGGTTTTAATCTTTACAAGGTAAAAATCACCTTACAAGGAAAGGAGATACTAGGAAATGTATACCCGTCAAGATCCATTCCTGTTTAGTGTACCAAACAAATTATACTCAAGAATCGTAGAAGCTGGAATAATAAATATTGTCGATTGCCAGAGCGATATGGATTGAGAAACTCTAGTTGCACATTGGAAGAAAAGTTGATAATTGGGACTGTCTTCACTTTAAGGCAGTTTATAGAGAAGTCCATGTAAAAAGAAAAATAGCTCTCTATCTGTTTAGTGTCTCACACTTTGGATTATGCTAATATCTAATTGTCTTTCAGAAAAGCTCGTTTTCGTTTTAGATTCTTTAAAAAATCTTTTGCACATGCACTAAACAGAAGGAGAGCTATGAGCTATAACTTTCACGATATACCTCTCTATATCCTGCTTCAAAGTGAAGATAGTCCCGATGTGCACCTTCAGCAATCGAAAATAAAGTGGTTTTTACCATAATAAACCTACATCATCCATTTAATATCATCCAAACTGCAATTGACCTCCTTTCAGCAGCATCTTGAAATATTCTGTTCATCTATCTACTATACATTCATTTAGCTATATAATGGATACTGGTCCTTTTTATCTTTTGTTTTTCATAGCCTAAACCAATTATTTTTTAATATTTCTTCATGTTTTATTATTCTATGACTATTCAGCTTTAATAAAAGACCAACTATGAGGAAATTAAGTCAAATACTGATTCTCAGTGACCAAGAAACTAACTAAAGTCAAAGTCGTCAATCCGCCATCTTTGGACGCCATTTTGGGGCAGTGCGTTCACTTTTTTTTTGGGAACATTGGCTTTTTTTTAATAAATAGTTACAAGGAACACAACGATATGCAATTTATAGGGATGTGGAGGGGGGGGGAGGGGGTGCACAGTAAGGGGGTCTGGCCCACAGACTATATATATTTTGCTCAAAAACCAAAACACATAAAACCTCATCTTTAACTCCTTTTAAACACCAATTATTTATCCCTCTCCTTAGCAATCAATCTTCCCAACATATGTAAGAATTAAATTTTTGTATTTAAGTGTTGTCAGTTTCATTTTACTGTTATTTCACAGTAATCTATATTATCTATGTTGATTATCAGAAGAAATATGTAAACATATTGATATTTATTCTTATTATATTTACTCATGCTTATTCTTTATTTTGGGAGTGGAATAGCTCAGTGGGTGAGCAATGACTTCCAGAGCTCAAGGTCCTAGGTTCGAGTCCAGCTGATGACTAGTAATTTTTCATTAGCCGTGGATCGACCCTGGGGTCGGGAGACCCTCCTGTGGCACACCCAACCTCTATAAAGTGGGTACTCTTAATTTAAAAAAATAATTAAGGGGAAAACCTCGCGGTTGAGCGTGATATTGGTCTAATCACCTCCCTGCACAACTGTTGGCCTTGTAACAAGACTTCCTCACATAGAACTGCATGCAAGACCTTTCATTATTGTAGTTGTACAGGTTGTAGTGGTACAGATTTATTCTTTATTTTAATTTTGTGGTTACATCATTCTGTAATTTAATTGTTTCTTGAAATTTTACTTCAGGTAAATGACACTTCAACTGTTCATTATTATTATTCTTAGCAGACTAAATGTCTCAGAATAAAATTTACTTTTCTTCTTCTCTGTAGTTACTAATAACATATTACATAATATTTAATATATATAAAATTTGCCACACATAGAAGTTGTGTCGTGTTTACATCCAAGATATGGAAAATCTTTATTTAAAACTTACAGCCGAATAATATTCATAAATTACAGTTATTTCATAATAAGAAGATTTGATCATTTTTGCCAAAATTTTCAGCCAAGGTGATAGAGATGTGATGATTATATTTTATAATGGTAGGATGAGAAAATCCAGGAAGTCAGTTTTCTACAAAGTGTTCAATCCAACAACTAAATAGAGCGAAATAATTTGTCATTGGTATGGACAAAGGATTTCTTTAAACAGTTATATGGAATAGCTATTCTACAATATTTGCCATCTGTAGTGAATAGCTTAATTTTGTGAAGAGTCAATATTATGGAAGGAATTGCACAGCAGTATTTGCTATTGCTTAAGCTTCCATGCGAAGGGTAACTGGCTACTATCCATCTCTGCAACAAAATTGCCAAACAGGAGGAAGTTTTAGTTTTACCTTATAAAAGATGTGGAGGCTCAGAGATTGTTCACAACGGAAATTAAACTAAAATGGAATGCCAAATCCCATCATCCTAGTAGATAAGGTTTTCTCATCTTTTATGGACTACTTAAGAAGGACTCCTGGACGTAATGCAGTTGAGGAGAGAAGATTAATCTGCAGCAGCTTCATGCTTTGATTAATTTGTTAAGTTATCTGCATATGTTAACTCTAAATTCGCTCCGAATGCTATATGGGCTATTCCCATTCTCAACATGGGCCATCGCCATTTTCAATATGGGCTATTCACACAACTAATTGTACATACCATTTAATATAAACACCTTCTACTGTAATAATTGTGATTTCTAAGTTTATTGGAATGGAAGATTCCTCTGTACCACCACAAAATAAACTTTTTTCCAGCCTCGTCTGAATAATACTTGGTTGAGGAAGAAACTGTAGCAGCCAATGATTGTTAGAGGCAGCATAAATACTATTGCTTACATTTTATTGGTAATAAAGATTTACTTTTCGTTTTCTTTGTTTGTTTTTTTCTTTATCAAAAAACTATAGTTCTATCCACTTTCTCTAGAAGCTAAAAATAGTTCTTTTTTTTTTTTTTCTTATTAACTGTCCACATTATTCTAGCTCTAGTAACCACTCATTATGTTCTTGGAAGCATTATTAATTCAGGTAGATCAATTCTTGAATCCACTTTGGATTAGTTACAGCTGGTAAAAATAAAGTTCAAATAACATTTTAGAAAATTTTGATAACAGAAATAAATCACTTCAGGTTTTAGAATATTAAAAAAAAAAGTATAACATTTTTCACTAAATTATTTTAAAACAGGATAATTACATACAAATTTATATTGAAAATAACTCATTACCTAAATCTATTTTTTCAACATATAAAGCATCTGCATCAGGGTGACGAGAAATTTCCACTATTTTTCCAATTCGAATATCCAACTTTTGAGGACCTATTTCATTTTCTCCTCCAGCAGTATTTGTCTCTGTAACAAAACAATATTTAGAAGAACTATTGAGGAGTAAAATAAAATATGGTAGTCGCTACAAGTTCAATATAGCCACATATTACATCCTCAATAACTTCCAAAAGGGCAGATTGGGGCAAGATCTGAAAACTGTTTTTAGAAGTTCAAACCTTTGTTATCAACAGAATTTATTTAGTTTTTTGGATGATTTTTGAAATTGAATAAAACTGTTTTCAATTGTTTCGTGTTGTAACAATTCTATATATTTGTATAAACTTATGTTTCAGCTGTCTTAGAATTCAGTAGCAGAGCCTGATTCTGCCCAGCACATCCCATTAGGTTTAAGCAAAAATACTGACAAACACAACTTTAAATATAAAAAAGATGATTTTCCTTGCTAATTGCTAAAAAATTGCTAGCTATGACAGAGAAATGATAGTCATTGTTACTAATTAATTTAAAGTTCCAAATTTTAACTTTGGTTTTATCCCCCAATATCCAACAGGAACGAATACTCATCCCACTGTGCATCAGTCACGGTCCATGGTCAATCGTCCAGGCTAGATAGGTCATGGCCCAAGGCTAGGTGCAAGGCCTGGTTATTAGCCATATATGTGAGAGATCAGAGTACAAAGGTGCTCCTGCTTTTGGAAGTATGGTCATATTGCTCAGAATATTATTGGAGAGGACAGGATTTCCCTCCTTGCCCTGAAACTATGCCCAAGCAAGGAACGAAGTTGTTGATTGTGACCGATCTCACTACCCTAAAATCCTAGCAGCGATTGTGAGAGAAATGGTATTAAAAATCTTAGTATGAGTATTAAGTGCCCAGCTTTCTGTTAGGCACAAAAACAATGAAGCATGTCCCACAGCATCGATGATTAGGTTATTCCAATTGAATTTAAACTTCTACCAAGCTGCTCAGGATCTCTAGCCAAATATTAAACTGCGCATAGACTGGCTACTGTCTATAAATAACATAAGGATTTTGAATGTACCTCATTTTCAGTGGTACAATACCATAGTCTGGTCTCATACGGGCCAGATATTTTAGATTAAAGATATTTACATGTTTAATTGATCTCAGCACCATGACTGAAGACATGCGAATTGGATGGGTTGCAGAGGTCATTTCCATGAACCAGCTATTATTGCCAATGATTTCAATGTATGGATTCAATTTCTTCATTTTGTTTATTTAAAAAAATTAAACGCTTCACGATTAAAATTTGATGGTTAACTAAAGGAGAAAGGTTGGTAATGCGGGACTGAGAAATGCCGAAGAAACCTGAATGGCCTCAAACTTGGCAAAAGGTTAAGATAATTTTCTATAATATTACATATTGTTTTTTACTAGTGCAATTATCTTCACTATTAATATATAGATACGCACATACAATATCATACACTTACATATATATATATATATATAACACACACACACTATTTATAAATAAATAATATAACCTCCTTTATCACTGGCACTCTTGTCGGACTAAAAAAATTTGATGGAATTTGCTTATTATAGTTAAATAAATAATTAAAGTATACAGATAACAATTAGTTACAAGAAATGTATAAATTTAATTGATTAGATGAGTGGGTAATTAAATGTTTAAAATAAAATGTTGTATTATAAACTGTACTACTTTTACTTTTACTGTTCCCTATGCATGTTTCTACCAGCTAAATATTTTAATAAAAGTATTGTTTTATTAATCAGGCACTGATGAAATAGATATTTTGCGCCTAAAACATCAAAACAACCAACCTATGTATGAAAAGACCTATTTTTACTCAAAGTAGGGCAGTAAGTGAAAGTTGTGCGCACACTGCTCCAGATTTTTTATTCTTATTTTCAGTTAATATTTTTTAGGAGAACACTGTTAAAGTATCCTTATAACTAACAAATGCAATATTTCAGGAATTCTAAAGTATTTAAATATATGAAAACTAATAAACATTGAATTGGTGTTTTTTGCCAGTAAGCCATTTCTTATTTAATGTTTCATAGTTTTTATTTATTATTATTTGGTTATTATTTTACTTTTGTTAATTTTTTTTTTTGTATATACGGTGTGAATGTGTTCATTTATCAATATAATTATTGTCCATGTGACAGAATATTATATGTCTAAAATAAATAAATAAAAAAAAAAAAATTTCATCAAATGAAATGATTGAGCCACTAAACATTTTTTTGTATGTATGTATTTATTTATACTTACTATTTTTACTAGGAGCTGGATAGGCATTAGCAACAAGTTTCTTCAATTCAGGAGAATCAAATGCTTTTCTAATAGGTTCTAGTAATCTATTGATATGCACTTCTACAGCTGCTTTTAAATCAGCAGGATGCAGTTTTTCTTCAGCAAAATATGCTTCGAGGTCATTATAGTTTTGAAATTCAACATTACCACCATTGGCTTCCTCACGTTGAATAATAAATTCTAAAAATATATCAAGATCAATTATCAAATGTTTTCATACTAAACAATTGATAAAAACAAAGCTAATTAAAGAGTAATGATTCAAGATAATAACTTAAAAGTTTGGAAATTAATACTTAAAATGGTCAATTATCTCCAAAAATATTATTTCACTAAGGTTTGAAATCGGTTTTGTACTAAATATAAGCTCCTGTCATGCTGAAAAACAAATATATAAATATATATTTTTTTTGGTTGGTGCTACAGAACATGAAGATCTTTGACCATTAGTGTGGTTTCCTAGACCACATCCCGATTCCCGATTTTAAAGTACGGGATAGGGTCATCAATCCTACGCCCGGCGGTGTGAGTTGCCACAAGTAGACTGACGGGCCTCACATACCAGGGGAGAGGAATCTCGCACAGCGTGGCTTTCCTTGGTGGACGGTCACCCATCCTAGTGCTAGCCACGCTCAGCGTTGCTTAACTTGGTTACCTATTGCAAGCGCCTTAGCCCGCAAGGCTACCCCAGCTCCCTTACACACATATATATTGTAATGTAAATATTATATAGTGATCTTAAATAATGGCGCGAAGGCATTGACGTCACGAGTTACTGTCAAAAATGGACAAAGACAGATGAAAGGGGAAGGAAGTGCCATAGGCTAAGGCAGAAGGTAACCAGCCAGCTAGTAAAGAGCATCAAGAGAAGAAAATGTGACTAACAAGTAGTGATTGTAAACAGAGGAAGAATAGAAGATTGTAGAAGTTGAATACAACAATACAGAAGAAGATTCTGCATTGCTGAACAGGGTGAGTGAAATATAAATAATGACAGTTAGAAAGTGCGCCAAGAGTAGACACCCACAAAACAATGGAAATTCATAAATAAGTGATATAAAATTAATGTATGCCTTTGTATTATATATTTGAGGAATGTGTGTTAGTTGTCTTAACCCAACCTCAGAAATAATTATTGTTTAAAATAAATATAAATTGATTCAGAAACTGTTTTGTTTACTTTTCAAAGGAAATGTAACCTTAAAACACACACATATATATATATAATAAGAGTTGATATGGAATGAAAGAGTTGATGCTAAAGCAGGCCAAGACTCATCTTTGTGGGTTGCAGTTGATAGAACAAGAAACAGATATTCCTTGATAAAAATAACTTCTTTTTTTTTATACATTTTTGAATAATTATTTTCCTTATTTTTGTAAACTTAATTGATTTGAGACAAGCAAATCCAAATAACATAATGGTTACCATTGTCTCAATTGGTATCAAATTCATATTTTAACGAACTTTAATTATCAGTTGATTGGGTTGCCTTGGGCCATGATGCTTTGGTCGACTGGTTTTTTTTTTTTTTTTTTTTACCAAAGCTTGCTCACTATGATTTATGGGATTAATCAAATTAACGATTCATCCACATAATACTGCAAACAGATAAGGGCTACGCTCTATAAGACAGAATAAAAACAGAACCTCTGGAAAAAAAACCTGTATTATAAATGTCTTTATTATACATCAATGAAGTAATCAGGGTGTAATTATTCCTCGAAAAATTCATTACAGTAAAGATATACTACCATGGATTTACATACCCTAATGAAAAATATTCATCCATTAAAAAAACAGACAAGAAAAAATCATAAGAACTCAGTATGATTATTTATTATATTAAATAAGAGCAGAAGCACCACAGTGGAATAGAAGATTCAGTTTGTTTGCAACACACAATGATAAAAAAATTACTTACTTTCATCTGGTTTAAAAAGGCTGAAAATAACATGTTTTGTGAATGCCAAAACACCATTATTTTCAATGTTCCCTGGTTCACAGAATGCTTTCTTAAGCTTTTTTTTAACTGCAGCTGGAGGATCTAACAAATCTATCTTGCTATCTTCTTCTGAAGATGACATTTTACTTCCAGTGAGTCCAGGAACTAAGAAGAGAAATTAAACATTTATTATTACAAAAACAAATAGAATTTTTTAAATATAAAATGGAGTCGAGGCCTTGTGGAAAATAATTATTTTTTTTTAGTTCAGAGGTTAATCCATGAACATATACGTATATTTTATCATATTAACATTCTAAAAATAAAACAATTAATAAATAATGATTCTACAGCAGCAAAAACATAAGATTAAATAATTTTAACAGATAATTGTAAATATATTATAAATTATGGATCCTCTGAAAACGTGAATTATAAGCAATAATTCGGAACATGTTTTATACAATGGTTATCATAAATTTTAACTACATATTTAAAGACCAACAATTATTATTATTACAGCACTGACTAAAACTGTGTGAAAACTGTACAACTTATCATTCCATTCCATCAGTTTCCCACATTCACGATTGGTTGGAGTGATGGGATTTGGGTGTGACCTGATGGAGTTCAGACCCCATAAATTCATAGTACACCAAAAAGTCCGAGAACTTCACATTCACGGTCCTATCGTATTCCATTGAGGTAGAGTAGAATGATCATCAGCGGCTGCCTTAATCTTACTAATATACCTGATTATAAAGTGAATGTTCAATTAACTCCATTTATAAAATAATAAGAACATTAATTTATAAATACCCATTGGATTCATAAAATGAATTCTTTTGGCATATCCAAGCTGGGGTAAATATTTTTCAGAAAAAGTAAATATTTTTCTCTGATCAACTCCTCCGAACTGTGCATCAACATGCAAGTATTCCTCATCTAAAGCTTGTAAGCCTGAAAAGAAAAAGAAAACTATTTAAAAAACATTGTATAGCTGATCATTATCATAAAGATAATGGTCAGGAGAGGGATCGTCACAATCAAACAGGAGTGAATTTCGATTGAGTTTAATTTGGATCTCTAAATGCAAATATTAAAACTTAGATTAAAAATTGGCCAAATACAGGAACATTGTCAGTATAAAATATTGAATTTGAGCAAAATATATCTGCTATTTCATAAAATTTTCGAAGCTATTTGCACATAGAGGAGAGGAAGAAAACAATAATGTTAATCAGAAAACTGTGTATTTTTAAGCACTATAACTATGAATAATTACAAAGCAATATAATAACAATAATAAAAGTGATCAAATCGGAGAAAAAAATGAAAAGTGAAAACAATAAAGACAAACTGAATCCTGTAACAATAGGAACTAAAAAATAAAATAATCATGATAAAATAAAATTCATAAATTCCAAGTATCTATATTTACTTGAGCATCTAATATAAAATAGTATATTTGTTATAAATTCTGGAAAAGTGAAGTGGATATTAAAGAATAATGAGAGATTAAGAATAGATATTTTTGATGATTGCTTAAAATGATACCAGAAAATATAACTTAACATAATGTCAATATTTCAATATCCATAAAGAAAAGTGAATGAAATGTAATGATAATATTTCACTGGTACTACTGACCACAACCGATTTCATGGACTCCTGACAATTGAGTAGTGCTTTAAGGGAATAAACAGAGTTATACTGCTTGACAGTCTAGGTCTAATTAATGTATTGTGATACTTTATTTATTGTTATTGTGATGTTGCATATACAAGTAATTGAAATTATCATGATCATGAAAAATTTTGAATACAAGTTTTCGATGGAAATCCATATTTTAATTTTACCTGAGTCAAAATAACCAAGGTTCACAAAATAGTATGTGCATGCGTGGTGAGTGTGTGCCTGCAGGTGTGAGGTCACTGTGGTCTCCATGGCAATGAAATGGCTGATAAACTCATCAAGGAAGGCTTGATATTGAACCAGCCAGAAAATCGAATACCATTTCATAGAGCGAGAAAAGAAATAAATATGGAAAATGAGACTCTACCACTAGAATCCATAAAGAGCAAAGTTGTGGAGAAGCAATGAAGAAAAATGTTTAATGAAGCAGATCGAGTACCCATAAATCTGCTGAGAAAGAAAGTTGTGGCAGAGTTCCGGATGATAACAGACCACGGCTACCTTAGGGAAACATCTGCATAGAATAAGAGTGGCAGACTCTCCACACTGCAATCTATTTAATTTGGATACACATATGTATGCAGCGCATTTATATGTATGTTTACGCTTATTAAACTTGAGAGATACCATGCCGTCTAAATTGGAATGGCACTGGGCTGCAAGGTTTCCGATGGTGGAAGCCGATAAAGAGAGGCATAATTAAAAAAAAAAAAATAGTTCCTAAAATATTTTTTAATATTCCCTTTTATCATAAGGCTGAGATTTTCTATTCAAAATATTACAAGAAACCTTCACTTTTTAAAAAAAAACTGGAAATTAATATGTAGATAATGGTTATCATTTTATAATACAGACGCAACCTAACTGAAAATACCAGGCAAAGTTTCATGTGTTTATTAAATAAAATCAACAATTCATCACACTTTGTATTTCTTTCCATGATATAAATGAAAACCACTTAATTTAACCATAATATTTTTATTTAACAATATTTTAAACTAGTTTAATGCGTGAGGAGTCGGCCACTAGATAGAACATTTTCACCTAGATACACAATCAGCAATGGACAATGGTGGACAGTAGTAGAGAAATTGTTCCTTAACCTAACCTCATATAACATTGATTGCAATGCATTCCAGTATGACCGATACAATGTTAGCCAATTTAACATTCAGACATGACACTTAAGTACCCCAAATAAAAATAATTTATAATTAAATAGATCATACTACTGACCTCACCTGGATATAGCAAACCAGATAACAAAGGATGTTCAACTTGTTTAACTACTTCTGCACCAGCTTTTTTTGCATCATGTTCAGTTACAATTGAGCTTAAACGATAAACATCTAATGTGTACTCTCTAAAAAAAAAATTATATTTTATAATTATCTAAGGAAAGTATAATTAATTATAATTTGTTTACTATGAACTAAATGTAGAAAAAAATCAAACTATGTACATATTAATGAGATCTTAACTAACAGCAAGTAAATGAAAACAGTAAATATATGAGGAACTTACTTTCAAAAGGACAAAAAAAAAAAAAAAAAAAATCACATTTTTAATTTCAATTGGATGAACAAAATTAAACCCTTCAATAACTTTTTCGAAGAACTTTATGAATCCATTTTTCTTCCAAGGATCATCGGGACAAATCTGAACAATAAACCTAGTTTAAGGCATCTAATCTTACTCTAGATATCCGTACAATTTAAGGAGAAAATTTGTATTAGGCTAACAGCTATAGTATGAGGAAAATATTCAGAGCTGGCCTTAGGGCCGGACAATCAGGGCAATTGGTGTACTTTTTGTACAATTATCTGACAAAATATTGTAATTTTTTTTAAATCCCATATATTATGATAACTTCAACATGACTCAACTTATCCAAACAAAAATTAGTAGGAATTCAGAACCCTATAAATTATATGAAATGGCACAAACCCTCAAATACGAATTTTCATAGAAAATGAAAAATAAATGTTTTGCTCAAAATTTTCACTGAAGGAGTCTTCGATTTGTTTGCTGAAGTAACTTGAACTATTAATGATTTTTCATTAATAGCTGTAGACCAAATAGCCGTTTGGTCTACAGCTATTAATATTAGCTTAATTTATGGCATCATATAATGCCTATAAATATCCATGTCTAACAATAGTTGTTCCAAACAAGAGCATGAAGTTATTGTCATTGTCATGTAGACCAAATACACATCTTTTTTTTTTAAACCAGACAAATATCTAGAGTAATATTAGATGAGATCTATCTGTGGTTATATTTTTGACATGACTATTTTTCCAAACAAAAATTAGCAGGAATTCATGGATCTATAAATTACATGAAATGACACAAACCAGACCTCTATAAACAAATTAGAACTAGAGACATAAAATAAAAACATTTAAAAAGTAATTTTTTTTCTTTATTCCTTATAAAAGTATAAAATCTAAAAGTCATTGATATGGTTTAGAAGAGCAATTCCGCTTTCCAGTGGTCCAACTTTGAATTGGGAGAGACTTCTGAGAAATTAGAAAACAGCATGGAAAAAATTTACAATAAAATCTAGCTAAATTTAAAACTTGTTTTTTAAAAAACCAATTTGTAATTAAGAGCTTTAGGTCTCAAGACTAAAAATGAATCTGAAGAGATTTTTCAAGACAAAATTTGTTTTGGCCTACTTTACTAGAAGCGTCTTTAGGTTTTTGAAAATCATTATACATCTTAATTTGTTTCAGCTATATATATTTTTATTTTCATCAATTGCTACATTATAATCTTGAAATGCATGCAAAGCAAAGGTAATAATAATAATAAAAAGCTCAGCAAACCCGAAGGTTCCATGGCGACACCACCAATAGCTTATTACACACCTCCCTCCACCGTTCGCCGTCAAAACCAAGTCCCTTAAGATCGGCTTTAACGCAATCTTCCAACCTTCGCTTTGGTCTTCTCTTCGAAGGTAATTTCTCATTCTCCCATATCTTTTTAACTAACAAATATATTTTAGAAACTCCAGCTTCCCTGCATGTCTTAACTAGTTCACTGGGGATATTATCGGTTCCAACTGCTTTATAAGATTTTAATTTTCTGATAGCTACTACAACTTCCTCTTTGCTCGAAAAGCAAAGGTAGAAAACAATAATTAAAGAAAAAGTTAAATTTTTTTTTCTTGGCTCTAAGGGTGCAGTGGCAAGAACCCTCAGACATGGATCTCATATTTGAACCCAAAAAAAGTTTCATTGAAATCAATGACCTCAAGTCCATAACCTCCCCTTGTTAGAGACGAAGGATCTACTCATACTGGAATGTATGGATCCTAATTACATTCATACCTAATAAATGGAGACAAAATTCAAGATTTGCAAATGTTATAAATAAACAAAATTTATTCAAGCAATAACAAAATTATACATAAAAATTGAAATGTCATTAATATGAATACAACTATTAAGGTTTCCACTGCAAATATAATAACATTTATAATGTAAGCTTTCGTGTGAAAAAATAATAAGTTTATTTCAGAAGATGACCATTTAATACCTAATGTTTAGGCTATATAAATTTTCAGAGATATGAAAAAACACCCCTATCAAAATAGGCCCCTTACATTCAGTAGTTGAGGATGGGATGATCGAGCACGTAGGCCGGTTAAACCAAGTTTTAAGATTGTTTAGTATCGTGGTATAAAAGCTTATTCACCGCAAAAAGAAAAACAAATTCAGAATAAGGTTGGAATTTGAATTATTATCTGAGATTCTAAGCACACAACCTTGCCCTCGACTGGTCCACATTACACATAAAATTAAATATTTTGATAAACTCCAGTACAAAACAGTTAAAATCTAAAGAGAATCTTACAATCTTAAATATTATATTAAATGAGCGAACCTACTTGGACAATTGATATTCTGAGCCTCGAACAAATTTTAACTTATCAAGGGGAACTCCAATGGATGTAAGCATTGCTTTTATTGAATTTTCATAGTATGATGTTCTCAATGCTAGCAAGTCCCAAGGTGCTTTCATATTATCAAGATATGCATGGAGATCAGCAAACAATATAGTAACCTAAAATCAATGATGAATTAATCATACTTCTTAAATTTTGTGGTTTATAGTATATTCAACATTCATTAAAACTTACTTCACATCCAGCTTTTAAAAAGTCAGCTATTTTCGACATAGGAACAAAATATGCAATATGAGGTTTGCCAGTTGTAGCAGTGCCCCAATAAATCTTTAATTCTCTTTCTTTAAGTAGATTCAGCAATCTATCTTCTCCTAGAACTTCTTGAAGATTACGTGTAATCAGATCTTTTTTCACATCAGGTGTTAACTTACTTTCAATCACCATCTAAAATAGAAAACATTTACATAGATTTCCTAAAAATGACATATCAATGCTACAAAAACATAATCAATTCAAGATTTACTTTAGATTAAAATATTTCGCTAATTTCTGAAACCAATACAAGAGAAAGTTAGAAGGTACTCGATTAGTTATCTAGCAACGTGTCCTGTTGTCAATAACGACCAGTTTATTTTTTAAATTATTTTGGTCCAAAGAGAAAGAAAATACTTTTAGTACTATCTTACAACTTAAAGATTTAAGTTGTCAATCACATAGTTCTATGAGAAGGAGTTGGTCGAGGGGTGCGGTCAAATAAATACTAAATTTTCAATAAATAGTACTTTCAAACTTTAAATTTAGTATTTATTGACCGCACTCCCCGACCAATTCCTTTTCATATTATATCACGGTCAACCATCTCTACATTACATAGTTCTATGTTACTGGTAGGCCTCGAGAAACCAAACATGTTTCCTTTATAAAAAAAGAAAATATTGTCAGCATCTGAGGGAAAATAATTGAATAAAATAATAAGAAATACTTGGTTGTTACTATATAAGTTATTTAAGTGACATTTTAATTCATTGACTTATCAATTTACTACCTCTCATGATTGTTTCTGTGATGTTACTGTTATAATATTATTTATTATCAGATAGATAGATAGATAGATAAAAATGAATTTATTCTGTAACAAAGTCCCTTGAGAATAACAAAATAGAACAAAATTAAAAGATTATATATGGCCTAAATAAGAACAATAGAAAAAAAGAAAAGAAAAATTAAAGAAATAGTTAGGTAAACATGCTATATACAAAATAAATAAAACTAGGTAGGAGATGGCGGAATCGATGGAATGATTTGAGAGTGAAAATTATCCGTCGAGAGATGTGAGAAATATTGTGGTTACTGCAGAGGGTTTGATCAATGAATAATTCTAAATTTTTAACAGAGGAGTAGAAGGAGATTGGCTGGTCATTAAGGTATGGGAAAGTTGGTATGGGATCTAATAATGAATACCAGTCCTTACAAAACCTATGACGATGACCTGAGTTTTGGCAGCATTTAACCTTAATACGTTTAAATTTGCCGAGGCATTGATTCGATCTAGATCATCTTGAATCATGGCAAATGCTACCAATAACTCAGGAAAGTTGGGAAGGAGAGGATAAGTAGATCTGAGAATCGCCTGCATAAAGGTGGTGGGAACAATGGAGAATTGATTTATGTATGTCGTTAATGTAAGAGCTGAAAAGGAGAGGAGATATGATTGAACCCTAGGCACCACCAGAAGATAAAGAAAGGTAGATAGTGTTCGATTGGGTAAGAAGACTGCTTGGGTATGTTGTGAGAGAAAATATTGGAACCAAGAGATGGAACTATTGAAGAAGGATGATGATTTTAGTTTGTTGAAAAGGATGGAATGGTTAATAGAATAGAAGGCTTTGGAAATGTTGAGAAGAGTAAGGATATTTAATTTTTTATCATCTGTCGCAGTTTGAATATCTCTGGTGATTTTGATTAAGGCGGATTGTTTGGAATAGCTGGGATGGAAACCAGATTGGAGACTTTTGACGGAAGTTGGAAACTTGGGGTTTGCCCCAATCTTGCTAGGGGTTTTGAGAGGTTGGAAAGGATTAAGATTGGGCGGAAATCTTCGAGAGAGGGTGGATTAGAATGTTTATTTAAAGGAAGGAGAATGGCTTCCAAGAGGTAGGGAATACTGAATTCTGAAGGAAGAAATTGTAGATGGAAAGGAGAACTGGAAAGATTTCAGGGAATATAACATAATTTTATTATTTTGACAGAGATGCCATCTGGTCCTATGGAATTGGTGTGAGATTTCATCATAGTGGTTAAAAGGTCTGTGGTGGAAATGTCGGAAAAGTAAAATTTATTGTCATTAAATGATGTCCCTGGAGAAAAGCAGAGGAGAGGTATTAGCAACAGATATAAAATGCGAGTTTACATCATCAGGAGATACTGGGAAGGCTAACGTAGGGGATCTGGAAGGACCAAAAAGGGAAAATTTACGAAACAGTAGCCATTTTGATTTGATATCAGGAGTTGAGGAAAAGCCTTCATGCAATTAGGTGGATTTCGTACGCCAGATTCTTGTCTATGTCTAATTGCGAAGCACACTAAACGCTTGGTAGTTATCTGAAAGCCTAGTCCGTCTATCCGTAAAGCGCCTATGGGCAGCGTCTCACCTCTTCTGCAAATCTTAAATTAAGTGAGACATGCAAGGTGCAGGCCGATGAAGAAAGGTAGAGGTTTTAAAAGGGGCATGGGTATTGAGGATGTTGAGAAGATTGGTAGTAAGACTATCAACCATAGAGTCGACAGAAGAGTAAGAATATATTCCACTCCAATCTAGGATTTTCATATAAGGTAATATTTTTCTCGTGTAAGGGCATCTAGATGGCGGAAGGTGATAGTTCGAGGCTGGATTGGAGGAGTTCGGATATTGTACGTTATTTGTATCAGATCGTGAATTGATAGAAAGGATATTGGCAGTTGGGAAGAGGAGAGGAGGTTTATGCAATAATGTAGAAATCTAGCCGTGTCAGACCTGCTACTATGGTGAATAAGGGGAAAAGGAACGATGAAGAGAGAAGAATAGGTTTTCTAGATAAGATTTGTTATTTTAGTTAGAGAAGAAATTGGTATGAGTTCAACGGAGATGAGGGAGGGAACGAAATTTAATAGCGTAGATTCAAAGGACGGGTCAAATGGAACAAGAGGAGGACGATATACCACAGCGCAAAGGAGTGGAAAAGTATTACAGATGATTTCTAGTAATATGTATTCAACTGGCGGGTGATTGGAGGATGAGGAGAAATCGAGGATTACTGTCTTCATGATATTGTGGACAAACATGGCTACTCCACCGCCAGTCCGGTTCACCCGATTAGGACGGGGAGGGTAATGAGGCAAGGAGACAGCCGAGAACGGGATGTAAGGTTTAAGCCACGTTTTGGACATTGCGATAATACGATAACAAATTTGAGTGAAATACAGCAGGGATTCGTCAAAGTGGGCAGGGAGGGATTGAGAGATAACAGGACAGATGATAAGGGTAGTAGATATGAGATGGATTTGGAGGGAAAAAGTCAGAGTTTAGTAGAGAAACACTAAAACAAATAGCAAATACAAAAAAGCTTTTACAATTAATAAAAATGAGAAAAAAGAAAGTGAGTAAGATGGAATTACGAGATAAAATGCCGGAGTCCGGTGGGAATTTTAAACTCGGCATAATTCCCCCAGTGCGGGAAAAAACCCGTTTAGCCTAAGGAGCAAAGAAGAAAAGAAAAAATAAAATAAAATAAATAAATGAAATATGACAATTTCCCTATTAAACTACCAAGAAGTTTAAGTAGATATGGAATTATATTCCCCCAGGGTGGATAAAATTTCCTTATTTCTGTAGTCGTTTTTTTTTTTTAAATTAAAATATTTTTTATGTTATGTTTATGAAATGTTATGATGGCTCTGAAATTCGAGCTGCAATGAAAATCTCGTAATTTCATTTTAGTAAACTTTACAATGGAAAAAAAAGCAGTTTAATAACTATAATAACTTAGGATTCCAAGGACAGCTATATCATCTTCGTATCCTAAGATTTTATGATTCCATCCGACGTGGACCCTCCATTTCCCGTGATGTTGTTCTCATCACCTTCTCTAGGGCTAAATTGAACAACATGGGTGATTGTCCATCTGTTCTACCTGTCGTAAGTCTGTTCGAACTTTGAAGGCTTCATATACTTCTTCTTGTATTAGGACTCGACACATTTATGGTCATTTGTACACGCCCTTGTCAATCTCACCAAGTTAAAGGGAACGCTCAGTTCAGAAATGATTTTCCAAAGACAGTTCCTGCCCACAGAATCGTAGGCTACTTTGAAATCGACAACTAGACGCCTTGAGCTACTTCCCATCGTTTTTCGAGTACTTGTTTTAGGATGAAGATGTGATATAGCTTGCTCATTCCTATTCTGAATCCAGCTAGATGATTGCCTATTATATTTTTTTAATACGGTTATATCCGGTTTAGTAGGATATTGGTCATTGTCTTGTAGATAACCGGAAGGATTGCTATGCCTATTTTATAAATACACTTATACATGGAGCCTTTCTTTAGGATAGGGCAGATGCGACCTGTATTCTAAGCCTCAGGTATCCTTCCTTCTTCCCATATTTTCTGCATTAGTTGTAGGATCTTGGCTTTTAAGTCGTTTACCATATCTTTAAACAGTTCTGTTAATAGGTTGTCCATCCCTGGGGCCTTTCTCGTTTTAAGCCTTTCGATGGCTATTTCTACACCCAGTATATCTGGTTTTTGAACATCTTCTGGGTCGAGGTCGTCATTGTGGTCCGTGTTTTCTTCGTTTGTGGGTTCCCCTTGACTGAGAAGTTTCTGGAAATGTTTTTTCCAGATGCTTAATATCATTTCTTTAGATGCCGTCAGAATGCCATCTTTTCCTCGCATTTGCGTATCTCTCGCTTTATATCCTACCCATTCTTTCCTAATGTCTGCGTAGAATTCGCTTATATCTCCAGCCTGCCGATTGTCCTCATTGACTAAAGACTCAATGTATCTTTCTTTAATAAAAATCTATTTTTCTTTGATGAAATCCTGTTTTGCCGATGTTATAATTGTGTTTGCCTCTTTCTTGGCAGTAGTGTACTTGATCAGTTGCAGTTAGACAGAGGACTTTAATTTTTCTTCTTACCTCTACTGCCTTTTCACATGCTTCTGTGAACCACATCTTAGCTTTTATTTTCTCGTAAATACCTATTACTTTCTTAGCTGTTTCTTTTATTCCTTTCTCTATTTCCTCCCAGTGTTGGTCCAACTTGAGTCTCTCTGAGTAAAAGGACTTGAATCTATTTTTCTACCTTTATACTTTTGAATGGAAATCAAATGTATCCATGAAAACTAAATGGAATTTTCGTAGAAAATTTTAAAATTTATTTTGTTTGACAAAAAACAAAAGTATATATAATCCACTGAATACAGGAAATGTAGGTTTTAATAATATATTTTATTGTTCTTATAATATAAATAAGTGGAATATAAAAATGATTTCATGCAGCATTTTGGATGAGTAAAACATATGTTTATAACCTTTTATAAATTTAGAGTAGTTCGATAACTTTAGATCCGATAATACATTTAAATAATTATTTATATATGTTCGGTTTATTTCGAAAAATCACTTATTTACATTTTAGAAATTTAAAACAGTGAATAATTTGATGAATTTTTCATCTGCGAAATCACAATTTTTTTTATACACTTGTGTAGTTTGACTACTTTTGATCAATCGATGGTAGGCAATGAAAAGTTTGGAACTCCGTTTTAGTAAATTTTTCATGGAGAAAAAATAAGAGTTTAAAAACATGTATTAAGCGATACGGATTTATTTTCTATAATGTTTACTATGTAGTCTGATCCTTACTTATTTAAAGAGTGGATTTATGTTACTACTTTCGAACGTCTCCTTTGAATGCTATGTTGAACTCAGAGACTGGAGTCATGTGGTTTAAAAAGACTGATGGAGTTACGGCATTTTCATAGCCTATTGTGGATATAATAAATTTGTTTGTTTTATTTTGATCTATCAAAATGAGTTTTTGCATTGATAAATAAGATCGAAATTCACAAAAGTATTTTTCAGGAGTATTAACTACATTCAAAATACACATCCAAGACTTTTTGCAATAGCCTAATTTTGCCAGAAAATAATTTCTACTCATAGCAGATCGGTAAGTAAAAGCAATGTGATGGGAACATGAGATGTTTTTTTTATTAAACTTCGTTTTATTTTATTATTTTAGGAGTGCATACCATTATAGCTAATTTTCTTTGAGCATATCTTTACCTTTTAACTAGGAAGATATTCAAAAGATTTTCATTATTCAAATTAAACATATGTTATGATCTTAGTTATTTAAAATTTGCAATATTTTGTTCCTCTATATTTATTTAGTTGATTATAAGAAAATGTATAGCTATTGTCCTAAGAAGTTTCAACCCTAAGTGTGAGAAATGAAATGCTATTAACTATCAATGCTCTGTTACTGAGTGAGTAAGTTATTTTCACTAAAAAGGAGAATTGAAAATAAATATAACATTTATGTATCAGTTGCAGGAGGAATATTCTGTCAACAGTATTTAAAGCCAGACAAAACAAATACATTATCGAAAGTGAGTATTAATTATATTTTTTTAAATGCCTATTTTCTATATAATTATGTTGTAAATATGTTATAACTAGTATGCGTAGTAGTTATTGTAATTAAGTTTATTTATTGAGAATTTTTGCCATTCTTAATAAATCAAAAAATTGCTGTAGTGGAATGATAGCGTTTTGAAGTTATTCTCATGTCAGGTAGGGCTGGTTGTCAAAATTTATGTATCGGTAAAATTCATAGATTTGGCTTGTTTTTTAACTTTATAACTTACGTTATATTTATAACTTTAAAGTTTACGTTACTATATAGACGATCTAAATCCCTATCGAATTCTCAAAGAATTGTAAATAGATCTTGGATTAAAATTTGTAAATGGGACTATAAATTTGTGAATAGATACTTAAACATCTTTCTATGTATTTCTTTTTTTTGCATTTGTCAATTATGTGCAAAGGTCTGTTATAAAAGACTGATTCCAGTACAATTTTATCACTTCTCTCTCGATAAGTTCTTTAGGGCTGTACTTAGCATAAGCATTGATTGAGTAATTCAGTAACTTTCATTTTAAACCAATGGACTGATGATGGATCCCAGCAACATTTTCATGCATCTTGAGGGATTCTGTTCCAACCAACGCTCCACACCTTCCAGTTATGTCCTGAATAGACTCGAATGCGTTAGCATACAGCCTGCACTTGTCTGATGGGTCGTGATGCTTCAAGATTTGTCGCCAGTAAGACCTTGTTGCTATGATCTCATCATATCTTTTTTATTTAGAAGGGAAAGACCGACTGTTAACTATATTTCAAAACATCTTCTAAAAAAATAATCATCCTGCCCATAACTAGGTCTTTAAACGAAAATTTTCTAACGTTTTTAGAAACAAAAAACTAATTAGACACTTCTACTGTCAGAAAGAATTTATTCAGCAGCTCAAATACTTCAGAACGTAACTATGCAAAAACAGAAATTCAAAACCCGCCTTGCTCCCACAAACCCCCAAAACAACGCTCCATCTCTCTCGATTACTCAAATGCAATACGTCATCTTCCGAGTATAAATCTGAATGCTCCCGTTTCCTACAAAGTATCCCAGAGCCATTTTTATTTTATACTGACGATTAGAAATCCAATGATGCCTCAGCTACTTCTTTTGTTACTCACAACTCGACATATAAAATAAAATTCCATAAATTATGCAACATATATACCGCGGAACTTCTTGCAATAGACCTTCACTTCAGTATGGCAATAACTGCAAACACAATAATTTTAATATCCGACTCTTTGAGTTCATTTAAAGGTTTAAACGACATGTACTCAAAACATTCCGGTATTCTAAATTTCACAAATACTTCCATATTCTTTAAAATTTGGAAAAACCTTTTTATTTTATATGGATTCTCGATCACGTGGGAATAGTTACTAATGAGCTTACAGCTATGGCAGCCAAACGAGCACTCACGCTCCCAGGCCGAGGTACTGCTATATTAACCCCCCCAGATATAAGTTTTCCTCTAAAAAAAAGAAATATCGGTTAGACGACAGTCCTTTTGGAACAAGAGCCTGTAAAGCAAATTAAAAGTTATAAAAAATCAGTGAAGTCCTAGACCACAACAAACCGTCCTAATCGTAGGAAGCAGGTCGCCGTCAATCACATAGAGGAGGTTGCCATGACTAGATTAACAATATATCATACACTTTTACTCATTGAGAGTAAGAATAAATAAGACTCTATAATCAACGTTACATGTTAACAAGTTAGTTGACGTTTCGGGATATTAACATTTACTCACATCTTCGGAACTGCAATCCCAATAATCTTGTGGAGCTAGGCTAAAAATTTGTTGAGTTATAATATTGTGCTTGTTACATTACATGTTTGAATTTTGTTGTTACAATAAATTTGTAATTACCTTAAAATTAATAATGTGCTCCATCGTCAAATTTCTTATTCATGTTATAAAATGGATCATCTAGAGCGACATCCTGCTTTTGACCAATAATTGGGTGTCTGCCATGGTGAAAAAATTGACCTTTGGATCTGGCTGTTTTATCTGACTATTTTAATACTATTGTTGTTAATGTTATTTTATGTATCTGTAAATTTCACTTCTATTAAATTTTAATTTTGTTTAATATGTCCAAATAATGAGTTCCTAAATGTTTAGTGTCTGTTTTGTAGTTGATTGTTGTTCTATTGTTTTTTGTGACGTGTATTGCTTCAAGTAATTTCCTATTGGTGTTTTTTGGTTCTGTGCCTATAATCTGTGGTTTGTTAAAGTTAAATTTATGCTGTAATTTTATACTGTGATGTGCTAAAGCTGTTGTGTTTATGTTTTTTGTATTTTTACAGTTGGTGATATGTTGTGAAATTCTAGTCCCTAATTGCTTGGATGTTTCACCAATGTAGATTTTGGGGCAGTTTTGACAGCTTAATTTAATTTATATATTACATTTATCTTGTTTATTGGTTCTATTTTATCCTTTGTGTTGGTGATGTGCCTGCTTAATTTCTTATTATTAATATATATTATATATTATTTCTTATATTGTCCGAATTTAATTTCTGTCTAGTTATATTTTTATACAATATTTTTTATGTCATTCACACGAAAGTTGAAAATCAAGTGGCAATACTAATGAAAGAAGTCTTGAAATAGAACATCTGGAAAAACCATATTTCTTTAGTGATTACTGATTCATTTTTAAAATGTTGGAAATGGTTCCTTAGATATCGACCTTAATTGATGAAAAATATGTAAAGTTCCTTCAGTCTTCTGGCACATCCAGATGTCCTACATGTCAACATTTCTGCCCCTTCTTTCATACGCTAAGACGTTGTGGATTTACAGTTCGTCAAAGGGGAGATTAATTATAATTCAAAAGAAAAGATTATATTCTTCTGAGGTCTTATCTTTCATAACATACTATCGCACCTTCTTGAAATCTAGTGAGGATCCCTTTTTCAGATCTATAATGCAGGTCGGATAAGAGCTTTATAAATCCGTATTTTGAGGGTTTCAATATAAGATCTAATTTGATGCATTCTTTTTCTGAGGAATAGGAGAAAAAAAAGTGTAGTCAATTTGTGTTTCTTCGTTTTTCAAGAAGTATCCGGAGGATGAATAATTTCTTGTGTCTATAGCTCTGAAATCTTCGTCAAACCACGGGTTTCGTTTACGTCTTGTTTGTAATCCTAACGAGTTGTTATTAGAGCATCCTTGCATAAATCTCATCTTTTATGAATGACGTCCGCATGGTTTACAGTCCTAAGCTTCTGTCCAAGCTACTTTAGATTATTTTCTTTAACCTTTAAGTTCATTAGATTGAACCTAGCGGGTTCGCTTCCATGATACTGTTCTTAATTGAAATTCTGGCTAGAATTTTAGCCGCCACTAAGAAGTGATCAGAATAACAATTTGCACCTCTTTATGCCCTCACATCAAGTAATGAGGACCTATTCCTTGAGTCAATTAGGACATGATGAATTTGAGAGGTTGTGACACGTCCCCATGGATCATATTTTCTCCATGTGCTGAGAGGTATTTTCTTGTGAAGGAAACAGGAGCTTCCCACAACCAAATCTTTGGATGCAGCAAGACTAATCAAGCGTCTCCCATTGTTATTTATTACATTATGAAGGCTGTTTGGATCAATGGTCGGTTGGTAAATTAACAAACATGTAAGAATCAATCTAGAGCCAAAAACAGAAAAAAAGTATCATTGTTTCAAGAAATTAAATTATTGTACTAAAATTGACTCGTTAATGCAATCAATATAATACACCAAAATGTTTAAAAGCCTTAGTCTCTACAATTTATTTATTCAATGTGTTCTGGAGGCGTTTATGCCAGTACCACTTTTCCATTTTATTTTAAAAATTAATCAGATATTTTTAAAGAAGAATTATTTATTTAGATTTTTCATTTCAAGAATTTTTGTTATTTTTGCCGCTTGATTTTCAGCTTTCGAGTTAACGACTTTAAACATATAGACTTTGCTGTTATTTTTTATTGTCTAGGCCAATTTTAAATTAATTTTTACATGCCTTATTATTCTTTGACGACACAGCTTTAATGAAAGGCCAATTATAGTGAATTTAAACCAAATACTGAATGTTAGTGATCAAAATACTTACCCAAGTGAAATTGGTTAGCTCGCCATTTTGGTACAGTGCGATTAATTTTATTCTGGGGACATTGTAGTCGGATGGAACACATCAACATTCAATTTATAGAGATTTGGGAGGAGGGATAAACGGAAGGAGGCGTGGGTCTGGTCTCCCTTCATCCCCACTTTTTTTGTTTAAATTTTTATATCAATTTTTAAATTTATTTTTACAATTTTATAATTTATATTAATTTTTTATTTATGTTGAAGACTGGCTATTTGATGGACAAATGGTGGAATCATTCTCCTAAACAGGACTCATCTGTAGACAACTGGCAGAAAAGACAAGCACCATATGTTTCACCAGATCAGGCTTTGGATCCTGATGCCATGAAAGTAGCTTCAAAACAAACCGAACTACAATCTTTGCTTCAGCAGATTTATCAAGCCGAAGCAGCAGTTAGTTTGATATTATTGTTCTCTATAGAAGAACTAAAAATAAGATAGCTAATACTAATATTTCTTATGACAGCTTTTGCATGACTATTAAAGAGTCCAGTCTTATAATTAGCCTTAAATATCTTTCTTAGTTGTCTCGAGGTGATTTGGTTAGCATTACAAATTATGAACTTGAAACTAGTTTATTCTTTTTTTCAATAGAATATATTCTTAACGATTTTTATCATTTTGAAAGCAATTTATTCTTAACGATTATTTTCATTTTGAAAGCAATTTATTTTTGTATGTTTGCAAAACTTTAATGGAGACTGCGATTTACCTGGAGAAATTGAATCATCATTAAAATTTAGCTAATTTTCTACATAGATATATTTATTTATTTTATTGCATAAATGTGAAAAAAAGAAATACACTCCTCTAAAAAAATGTGATGGTGCATAACTTGCACTAAGAAACTAACTTCTGGACGTCTCTGACTAATCGTAAGTTTGGCACCGACACAACAAAAATCCACTTTGCCAGTACTTTGAGGTGCCAATTGTTGAGCAGACAAAATCCAATATCCAAGTTAAAAGATTCAAATTTCGAGTTATTACATATATCTTAGGTTTTGTGCCATTTGAAACTAGTTTCCCATTTAATTAGTTTAGTTGTGAGGAAAAAAAAGAAGTCTACGACGAGCCGAGCATTATGCAAACAAAATCCTTAATTCAAGTTTTAAAAATAGAATTATTTTATATTAGTTCGCTTTTAGTCCATTTCGCTTTTGGCAGATGGGCCACATGTTTTGTTTTTTGCCAAACTCTAACGGCTACCTTGATAGTGCCAGAGTGGGACTTTCAAGATTAATTTCCTGGCGCAGCCGAGAAAAGAAAATTAACAAATCCAGGTAAGAATAGAACCCACAATGTTCAAAATGATGCGCTCTGGAATCCACACCCCAATATGCTTGGCCTACCTGTCCCCATTGGAAACTAGTTTCTCATTTAGTTAGTTCAATATAGTAGCTGTATTAGAAAAATATTAAATGAAATAAAATTGAAATATTATATAATATAAAACAGCTTAAGAAATAAATTTAATTTTTTTAGGGGGAGGGGAGATGACGTCGTAGGGGGCGCCGAAGGTCTAAAGCCGGCCCTGTAAATAAAGCATATTATGATTATATCTGGATTATTCTCGCATTTATGGATTCGAATCTGGAGCTGGAGGACAACTCCAATCTATATGTATACATTATTTTTTTTCTCAGATATTTAGAAATTTTCCTAATATTCTGGCTGTGTCTAAGAGAACTGCTTGCTGTGCCTCTCTTAGCTAGAGATGGGTGGGTGGAACGAGAATCGAATCAAAGAGTCGATTCCTCTGAAAGAATCGTACGCAGAAGTGATTCACACGAAGGAATCAAGATTCACTAGGAATCGCTTGATTCCATTTCGCACTTTGGATATTTACAACCTATGCATATTTATCTCAGCATTTTTTTTTCCTATTTTTAATTATCTAATATTTTGTAAATATTCAGTTTAACGAATGACTACACTGTCATGTTTCATTTATTTTGTATTTATAATTTATTTGTAAGCAACAAATTATAAATACAAAATTAGTTCTTAGTACAAAGTTATAAAATTGTTCCTAGGCTAATAAACTTATTTTTCATTTTATTCTATTTAAAATTTACATACACATAATAAATGTGTAAAATTTGTTTGATATGTAAAATTTAAAAAAAAATCCTATCAAATTTAAACTTTCTTCCTACTTATAAGATCCATAACTTATAATCCATAAATTCCTATCAGTTAAAAAAAAAGAACTGCTTTTGCCTGAATAACTATAAGGTTTGAGACAGTGTTGGGCAAAAATTATCTATAGCTAACAGATAACAGATAACAGATAACAGCTAAATTAGCTATTAGCGGGCAGATAATTCTGCAACTAAATTAGCTATTAGCGGGACCAAGCCGCTAACTTTTAGCGCAAGTTAACTTTTAGCTGTTCTTACCGCTAACCGCTAATTATCTTTATCTGTATCTTCAGCTAAAAGCTAATAGCTAATTCTTCGGATTTCATTGGTCTTAGAGTCGACTATTACGTTTTGGGGGGCGCTTTTTATGAAAATAATATCGGATTTTAGGTGTGACCCCCTCCTCCCCCCCCCGGGCACCGACTTATCGTAACTTTTCTGATTTTATCGATATATGGGTCGACTATTAGGTTTTGGGGGGCGCTTTTTATGAAAATAATATCGGATTTTAGGTGGGACCCCCTCCTCCCCCCCCCGGGCACCGACTTATTGTAACTTTTCTGATTTTATCGATATATGGGTCGACTATTAGGTTTTGGGGGGCGCTTTTTATGAAAATAATGTCGGAATTTCGGTGTGACACCCCTCCCCCCCCGGGCACCGACTTTTTGTAACTTTTCTGATTTAATCGATATATGGGTCGACTATTAGGTTTTGGGGGGCGCTTTTTATGAAAATAATGTCGGAATTTAGGTGTGACACCCCTCCCCCCCCCGAGCACCGACTTTTTTAACTTTTCTGATTTAATCGATATCAGGACCGACTCTTAGGTTTTGGGAGGCGCTTTTTATGAAAATAATGTCGGATTTTAGGTTTAATCCCTCCCCCTCCCCCCGAGCACCGACTTTTTGTAACTTTTTTGATTAAATCGATATCAGGGTCAACTTTTACGTTTTGGGGGGAGGCGCTTTTTATGAAAATGATATCAAATTTGATATCATTTTCATAAAAAGCTCCCCCCCCAAAAAACGTAAGAGTTGACCCTGATATCGATTTAATCAAAAAAGTTAAAAAAAGTCGTGCCAGGGGGGCCCAATCTCAAATTTGGGCCCAATCATTTTCATAAAATATTTCCCTCCGAAACATAATAGTCGACCCTAATAACGATCTAATCGGAAAAGTAAAAAAAAGTCGAGGCCCGGGGAGCCCAATCTCAAATTCGATATCATTTTCATAAAAAGCGCTCCCGAAAACATAAGAGTAGACCCTAATATCGATTAAATCAAAAAGGTTAAAAAAAGTCGAGGCCCCGGGGGGTCACACCTAAAATCCGACATTATTTTCATAAAAAGCGTCCCCCAAAACCTAATATTCGACCCATATATCGATTAAATCAGAAAAGTTACAAAAAGTCGGTGGCCGAGAGGGGAGGGGTCACACCTAAAATCTGTCATTATTTTCATAAAAAGCGCCCCCCAAAACCTAATAGTCGACCCATATATTGATAAAATCAGAAAAGTTACAAAATGTCGGTGCCCGGTTGGGAGGGGGGGGGGAGGTCACACCTAAAATCCGTCATTATTTTCATAAAAAGCGCCCCAGAAAACCTAATATTCGACCCATATATCGATTAAATCAGAAAAGTTACAAAAAGTCGGTGGCCGAGAGGGGAGGGGGGGGTCACACCTAAAATCTGTCATTATTTTCATAAAAAGCGCCCCCCAAAACCTAATAGTCGACCCATATATTGATAAAATCAGAAAAGTTACAAAATGTCGGTGCCCGGTTGGGGAGGGGGGGGGTGAGGTCACACCTAAAATCCGTCATTATTTTCATAAAAAGCGCCCCAGAAAACCTAATAGTCAACCCATATATCGATTAAATCAGAAAAGTTACAAAAAGTCGGTGCCCGGGGGCACTATTTAAAATCCGATAGAATTTTCATAAAAATCGCCCCTTATTACATAACAGTCGATCCTTATATCAATTTATAAAAAAAATAAAAAAAATTTTCTAGTGTTAGCGCTATGTTAGCTTTTAGTTAAGTTAATAGATAATTTAGCTTAAGCTAAAAGTTAGCGGTTCGTTTCCGCTAATAGCTAATTTAGCGCTAAAGTTATCTGCGCTAAAACAGCTGGAAGCTAAATTAGCTTAATATTTAGCGCCGCTAATTTTAGCATTTAGCGGTACGTTAGCTAGTTAAAAATTAGCGCGCTAACGCCCAACTCTGGTTTGAGAATGTATGTTATTATTTTTATTTCTCAATAAAAAGTCATTTTTTAATTTAAAGAAAAACAAAACGAAAAGAAGAATCGGTCATAAGAATCGATTCACTTAACATAATGAAAATCCCCATCTCTACTCTTAGCAAATTTTTCTATCAAGGAAAAATCCTAATCCACCCTACTTTGGAACCAGACCGTTTGTCGATAATATAATTGGTTTAACAAATGCGCTTTCCAAATGGTACAATTATTTTATTTGAAATGCCAATTCTTCATATTTTCGGAGTTATTCAACCACAGTTGTGCTTAAATTATTATCCTTCGAAATCGCAACATCATTAATCCTGGCTTTCTTAGTTCATTATTATTATTGCATTATAATTACAAGTTAATTTAGAAAGCAGCCATCTGACATTTTTACCAATCTTTATGTTTAACTTTGATTGTATCAATAAAAATATAATTAAAGTAACGATGATTTTCATTCTATTGACAAGGTTAAGATGGAAACCGGCGAAGTAACGAGAACTCAACAAGTTGCAGCCGAAGCAGAACAGGCCCTCGAGGAAGCTACCAATAAAGTGAGACTATTGAGTTCTGACTTGCAGGCAGCACAAGAGGCTGCAGCGCAAGCAGCAATGAGAGCTCACACCGCACAGCTACAGCTATCTGCGCATGATCAGCTCATGTTCACTGCCAGGCAAAGAGTTGATGCACTCTCAGCTCAGGTCAATAGATTTTTCTGTGTTTCGTTGTATACATAAGAAAATACATATTAAGGAAAAAAATATATGTAGATGTCACATCAAAATGAAAGTTAGAAATCTTGAGAAATTATGTCACATTTAGTAAAGTTTTCGGGTAACTTGATTGATATCAACTCTCGAGTCATTAAAAATAATGAATATTTTAATAATGTGAAACCGATAATAAATCGTCTTTCTGTTCAAACCATCGAGATATCGCACCAAAAACAATAGGCTACCAAGTTTCATTACCAGAGGTTTCCAGTCCATATTAAAATATTTTAGTATCTTAATAGGCTTTGCCATGTAATTAGCTCCATCAAACTCGGACAGCTCCGCTGGACGGGTCATGCTATTAGAGTGAACTAGGGAGAAATACTATTAAAAATTTCGTCGGAGCGGTTGTATGGGACAAGGCGAGCAGGACGTCCAAAGCTTCGTTGGGAGGATTGTATGGCTATGGATTCTAAAAACCTGCATGGTTTAAGGAATCGAAAGGCAGTGGCATGCAACAGAGAGGACAGGCAATCCTTGTCGGAGCACGCTATAACTCATCAAGTGGATTATGATGCCAGATAAGAAGAAGAAACATGGGCTTTATATACTTTATTGTACTAAACCGAATTTTATGACAAATTCAAGATACGGCGGGTTGTTTTACCACCAGTTTTGTATGCTGTGTTTTCTATCAAAAACTGGTTTGGGATATACTTGTAATAGGGACAGATGTCGTCCAGAATTATAAATTTCTTAGCCAATATTGAGTATTTCCAACTTGTCCCATGTTTTTATGTTTCATCAAATATTATTTTCCAACGAGTGATTATGTGTCCCTACGGATCCACACCAGAGACACATCCCATGAACATTTTGAAACAATTTTTAAATAACTATGCAATTATTTTCCATATGCATAAACAACTATGCAATCCTCTCGTGCCATTTGACCCGTCCTTCAAATCAATCCTATTCAACTTCGTTCCCCTCTATCCCAGAATAATTATCTCCGGTGACCTCAATACCAATTTCCTCTCAAACTCCAATGACAAATCCTATTTAGAAAATCTGTTTTTCTCACTTCACCTATTCATCGTTCCTTTTTCCTCCACCCACCACACCAGCAGATCTGACACTTGGCGAGACTTCTACATCATCGACTCAGCACAAAACCTCCTCTCCGCCTCTCAATTGCCAGTATCCTTTCTTTCATCTCACGATCTGATTCAAATAACGTATAATGTCCGCACTCCTCCAATCCATCCTCGAACTATCACTTTCCGCCAACTGGATACCCTTACTCGAGAAAAAATATTACCTGATCTAGTAACATTGGATTTGAATGGAATATATCATTGCTCCTCTGTCGACACCATGGTTGATATTCTCACCACTAATCTTCTCAAAACCTCTACCTTCCGTCATCGCCCTGCTCCTTGGATGTGTCAGGAAATTAAGGATCTGCAGAAGAGACGCGACGCTGCACGCAGACGCTTTAGACGGACTAGGCTTGCAGATGATTATCAAACATTCAGAGTGCTTCGTAACACGACACAGACAAGGATCCGACAAGCGAAAGCGAACTACTTTCATGAAGCCCTTTCCTCAGCTCCTGATATCAAATCAAAATGGCTTCTACTTCGTAAGCTTTCCCTCTGTGAACCTTCTAGATCCCTTCCTCAGTTTTCCCAATATCACCTGATGACCTAAACTCCCACTTTATATCGGTTTCCACCTCTTCTTTACCCTCCCCTTCCGGCTTTTCTCCAGAGGTACCTTTTAATGACAATAATTTTTATTTTTCCGACATTTCTCCCACAGACCTTATTACCGTTATAATGAAATCCCGTTCCAATTCCGTAGGCCCAGATGGCATTCCTATCAAACTAATAAAATTATGTCTCCCTGAAATCCTCCCAGCACTCCTTTTCATCTACAATTTCTCCCTGCAGAATTCAATATTCCGGAGCTCTTGGAAAAAAGCCATTGTCCTTCCTTTAAACAAAAAGCCTAATCCATCCTCTCCCGAAGATTTCCACCCAATATCAATTCTTTCCAATCTTTCGAAACCCCTAGAAAGGTTAGTGCAATCCCAAGTTTCCAACTTCCTTGAACAATCCAACCAACTCGATCCTCTCCAATCTGGCTTCCGTCCTGGCTACTCTACACAATCTGCTCTGATTAAAATTACCAGTGATATTCAGACTGCAATAGATGCTAAAAAACTAGCCATACTTATACTTCTTGATTTCTCCAAAGCTTTCGATTCCATTATCCATTCCATCCTTTTCAACAAACTAAAATCATTATCCTTCTTCAATAGTTCCATCTCTTGGTTCCAGTCTTTCCTCTCACAACGAACCCAAGCAGTTTCCATACCTAATCAACCTCTATCTGCCTACCTTCCTTTATCCTCTGGAGTTGCACAGGGTTCAAGCATGTCTCCTCTTCTTTTCAGCTCTTATATTAATGACCTAAATGATTCAATCATCCATTGTTCCCACCACCTTTATGCCGACGATTCTCAAATCTATTTATCCTTTTCTTCCGCTGAGTTATTGGTGGCATTTGCCAAAATTCAAGAAGATTTAGATCGAATTAGTGCCTGGGCCAACTTAAATGGATTAAGGCTAAATGCTGCCAAAACTCAGGCCATTCTCATTGGTTCCAAGCCCCTTCTTAGATCCCACACCAACTTTCCCTCACTCTATCTAAACAACCACCCCATCACCTTCTATCCCTTTGTTAAAAATTTAGGCTTTCTCATAGATCAAACCCTTTCCTGGAATCACCATATCTCTCATATATCCCGCCGTGCAATTTCTACCCTCAAACTATTCCATCACTTCCGCCATCTTCTACCCCAAAATACCCGTAGACTCCTAGTTTCCTCTCTCATCTTTCCCCACTTTGACTACAGTTGTGTGGTGTACGATGGCCTCTCGGTGGAACTCCGTGATAGACTCAAAAGACTTATGAATAGCTTCGTAAGATTTGTAATTGGGACCCGAGACGCTCCCGTGTCTCCCACCACTACACTGAGTTAGGGTGGCTCTTCTCCTCCTTAAGAAGACAATATTTCCTAGGCACTTTCCTTTATCAAATCATTACCGATCATCGTCCTTCTTATGCCTACAACCTTCTCCAATTTAAGTCCTCAATCCATTCCCTCACTACAAGATCTCGACCCTCTGACCTATACATCCCTTCTCATAGATCTGCCTCATTCCAAAATTCCTTTATAGCCCGCTCTGTCAACTTTTGGAATTCCCTCCCGATCAAAATTCGACATGCCCCTTCCCTATACACATTCAAAAACCTCCTATTCCAATTCCTGTTCCAAAAACAGTCAGATACCAGCTAACTATTAATACTATATATGTATTGTGTAGCAATCATATAATCATAATACTTGGTAAGAGATAGTACATGCATTTCCTACTATCGACGTAGGAATTTCAATACATACATTTTTTTTTTATTCAATTATAATTAACTGTTTATTTTTATATATATATATTCAAGTAAAGTTTTTTTTTTTTTTTTTATGAAATGAACTCATTGTATCTCTTTTTCGTTCTTCATTTCTCAAATTGTATGTTTATATTGTTCAACCCTTATATATAATTTTGTTCATAGTTCAAGTGATTCGTTCATAGTTTTAATTGTTTTGTTCATAATTTTAAATGCTCTGTACATAGTTTTATCTGTATTGTATATAGCTTGTGCACCTAGGGTTTTCTTTACTTTTTATTTTATTTTATCAATTTTATTTATTGTTTCAAACGTTTAGGCCAGTAATATTCTATTATTTTGTACATTATTGTTATTCTGAAGGGACTTAGTCCCAGAATAAAGTTTTTTTTTCTATCTATCTATCTATTTTTTATTTTGGTTAACATTACTTCCTTATGGCTTTAATTTAATTTCTGTTTCCGTATTATTTCATTTTATTAGCGAACATGTTTTTTCGCCTTCTCTCCCATGTTTTGCTGTTATTTTTTAATAACTTTACACACACTTCGAAATTTATTTTAGTTTTTCATTATGTAATCAGCCATCTGGTCATAATTAATGTTTATATTCTTGTACACCACTGTTATTTTTAAAGTTCTTCGTCGTAGAATAAAGTTGCTTTTTCTATTCTATTCAATATTTTCTATAATCAAAATAAATATAATTAACGATTTTACAATATTTGCATTGATTGGGTGGTAACAATCGACAGAAATACCGTTATTTTTGTTCACAAAAAGATTTTTGTTTATTTTTTTGTTTGTCTTTGTGAGACAGATTAGTCTCAAACATTATTAATTTATACGGTAAAAATAAAATATAGTTAAAATATTGTACATTACATCGTTACTCGTTTTCGAAAACACAACCTTCTTAGATGCTTGAAAATAATATCAATAATACTATAAATTTGTTAACTGTAGCGATATACACGGAGGATTCAGCCGACACAAAAAGGTTGGGAACCACTGGTCTGAGGTGAGAAAACCACATAGCGCTGCCTAAGATTTAAGTCTACACTACCAATAGACAAAAGAATATATATGTATATATATTATTGTCCCTACATAGATTTTATAAAACCATTATATTTTTTGCTATAAAGATTTTTAGAAATATTTTATTTTATGACTCTTAACTAGTCAAAATCTTTAATTGAACTCTATATCCCATAGTTATTTATTTAGTTATTTATTTCTTGATTTGTCCTGTTTTAAGTAAAATTTAAATATACCTATTAAATATATTAATAAATAAATACATGATTATTCATGCTTCGTTTTTAGGTAAAGAATGATTATTGTTTTAGATGGTGTCAGTCCAAGCTGAGCTAGCTGCTGCTCAACAATTGTTTACACTCACCAATTCAAGTCAACACTTGGAAGCACAAGCAAGAGCTGGTCAAATCCCGTTCCTTGACATGGATTCAGCTGCAGGTTTTCCTCCAGAAGCATATCCTCCTCAAACATACTTGCAAGATCCAAATTTTGTCCAAAGATGGCCTCCTCCAATGCCTCAAGTTATACCTCCTTATCAGTCAAATTTGCCCTCTCCTGATATGGGACAGCGGCATCAAATACCATATCTCTACAGTTAGATATTTCTGAGCTTGAGAGTCAGTTTGATAAGATAGATAATTTTATATTACATCGGTTGACTAAAAGGTAAGTGAAATAGTGAAATAGTGAGTAAGTGAGTTGGATACTAAACATCTATGTGTGGTGAATATGAATTCATGAATTTGTTTGTTTAACATTTTCAATCATTTATAAAACTAGTTAGTATCAAACAACATCATTTATATATTACCAGTATGAATAAAGTTAGAAATGATGAGTTGAAGAAGAATCAGTAACAAGTGATATATATCATTTTTACTAATTTATTTATCGGGCTGAAGCAACGGACGGCCCCAAAACGATAAAATATAAACATGTTTTATAGAAAAACTAGCTGATGTACCAGTCGTTGAGGGGTGTATAGTTAAAATTTGAGATTCTTTTTTTGTGATGGATATTGTGTTATGGGGAGAGGAGTGACCAAATGTCCAAATTCAAATTCATAAAATTGGGTCGGGAGGGGAGAGGGTAGTTGTTATAAATTTTTTATGGTGGGGCTTATGAAAGTCAAGGTTTCGCAATAGTCATAACAAAAACTTTGTTATTCGGCTATTTGTTTAGGTGCCACAGTACTATACCGACCACTACCGATCCATTAAAATTTGGTAAGTGTTTAATTTTCATTTATGATGAAGGGGGGGGAGATTGTGGAGTTCATTAATTAATCAAACATAGTTGTAGTCTCTCCATTTCTTTAAACTCTCGCTTTTTAAGACTCTCGTTTTTCGATGGCAAAATAACCAGAATAACATTGGACATTGAGTCACCTACTTCTGTGTAAAATTAGAAAAATGATCTGAATATTTTGGCGGGCGAGGTGAAATATTTGGATTTTTCACCTGATATCCGGCTAATCCGTGTGGTTAAACCTAAAAATGTATACGACAATATTTGCTGGGCTTGGAAAGTTGAATTGAATGACACCTTGAACGGGAAGATCGAACAAAGTTGAAAAATGAGTGTGTTTTACCCGTTTTATGCGACAACGCGTTACAGGTGTTCGGTATTTCGGATTTTTCTCATTGAGTTATGATATTTTTTTTCATCAGTTGAGTAGTACAACTTTTAAATGTTGCTGGCGGTAGAGTAGGTTGGGATTAAAATAGAAGTAACTGCCTAACCGGGATCACTAAACAAATTAGTCAAATATTCATAACTTTGGTTCTACTTAATATTATGTTTTCATTTAAAGCCTATGTTTTAAGTCAAGCAAACCTTAATATAATGTTAAAATATCAAAAGTCTACAATAAGCCATTGCTGAACTTACCCCTGACAAAATTTCATTGCAATGCGGACATACAGACAGACAAACATTTATTTAAAAGTGGATTTGGTGTCTGCAATGTATGAAACGGAAAGATATCATAAAACTGATTGATTCTATTCAATGTACAGACAAAATCTTTATTTTATTTATATAGATATATTAAAAACTATCTCTCAAAGTATTTTGTTCGTGTAATCACTAGCGGATCTAGGATTTAACTTTGAGGGGGGGGCTTCAGCCCGAAAGATTTTTTTTTCATAATTCTTCATAAAAATAAAAATAAATTAACTACCAATATGAAATGGTGTTTAAGTGGTTCCTGAAGTCCTATTAAATGTAATTAAACGAACAGAAATACTTTAAGAGATAGTTTTTAATATTTTTGTGTGTAAAATATGGTTACATTTTACCATTTTGGGGGGGCTGTAGCCCGAAAGCCCTCCCGTAGATCCGCCGGTGCGTGTAATTACATTCAATAGGATTTCAAGAATCACTTAAACACCATTTCATACAGGTGATTAATAATTTCCAAAATGTTTTCTTTTCAAAGGAATGATGACCATCAAACCTATTCAAAAAAGTTTTACTTCACATTGTGTTTGAGGTCATAGAAATTGTGAAACAAGATGTTTCAAGTTTTATGCGGAGCAAAGCATCAAAACTTACACTTGAAACAAAACATAAATTCTGTTGAGTTAATTAAAATTGAGTTAATCATTTCGAGCAGTGTAAAATGTTACGTTTTAATGGAAGTAGGAAATAGCAATATTCTCAGTGTGCTTTAGATAGTATCCAACTATATTTAGAAATTTAACTAATACAGAAACCGTTGTTACCACAAACTCGGGTACAAACTTGGGGGGTGGGATGCCCGACGATCTAATGTGTGTGCACAGCACCACCATTGCCCGGCAACCTGATCTATGAGACAACGGATTTAAAATAAAATAGTGACGAATTCGCGTCCCGGTGCCGGGGAGTCTTAAATCCCCACCCACACCCCCTGGCTCGGGAAACCCTGTATAGCCTTAAAGGCGAGGAAGGGGAGGACCCGCCCCCTCTCCCCCCAAAAAAATAAAAAAACACCAACTCGGAATATATCCGCGGAGGGGCGCCCTCGACAGAAATCGCTAGTGCTGGTCACGATAATAACTTTTTTTTTATATTACATTAGAAAATTTAGCTATTTAGCTGTGTTTATCACTGTGCGATCTGATTAGCATGCTTCACCCATTTTTTTTTTTTTTTTTGTGTATCTAATATTTTAAAAGTAATATGCTTTAGAAAATCAGACGCAATATTATTATTATTTTTTTAAGAAATTGGAACACTTCAAATGCGTTTTCCTAAAAACACGCGAGTGCTTTTCATTCTGAAAGTGTGATATGCAGAGTCGAATTTTTATGCATTAAAACCTGCAGAATATGCCAGAATAGAATAGAAAAGAAAGTTTATCCTGGGACTAAATCTTCTCAGAATAACAATGATCTAACAGAATAACATCTGGCTAAAAACTAACTTAATAAAAATGTTAACAATATATGCAGTAATTTAAATAATAATGTGTAAAAGACTTAAAAAAAAATAAAATCCTTTCAAAAATAGTTATACTTGTAATGTGAGAAACGAGAACAAAAAATATAAATTAAATATGAATAAAGAAAAATCAAAACCTTGAGAAACGAAAAAAATATTTTTGGTGTCAAAAACATAAACATTAGGCTAACTTAATGGCATAAACATTGGGCTAACTTAATGAAAATTAATTTAATACAAATTATAAAATATACAGAAATTTAAAAATAATCTGTAAATACTAAAAAATAAAAATATAACTTTCTCAGGAATAGTTACAGTTGTAATGTGGGTAAAGAGAACAAAAAAATATATATGCTATATATACAGAAAGCAAAAACAAAACCTGGAAAAATGAAAAATTAACAATAGTCAGTAAAGAAGAAGCACTGAGTTTTGATGTTAACACTTAAGCACTAGCGGATCCAAGATTTAATTTGGGGGGAGGGAGCTTCAGCCCGAAAGCTTTTTTTTCATAAAAATAAAGATAATTACTTTGAAAAAAAAAAAGAAAGAAACTAATTACCTATATGAAATGGTGATTAAGTGATTCCTAAAGCCCTTTTAAATGTAATTACACGAACAATAATACTTTAAGAGATAATTTTTTCCATAAAACATGGTTATATTTTACCATTTTGGGGGGAGGGGCTTCAGCCCCAAAGCTCCCCCTTTAGATCTGCCCATGCACTTAAATAGTGTGCACTTTCATTCACTTTTTTTAAAATTCAATTCATGAATAGAAATTTTACGTTTGCATATCGTATATAAGGAGGTGTATAATATATAAAAAACAAAATATATAGGCAAAAAAAAAACACATTAACAAAAAGACAGCTAAAATATTTAAACATACAAATGTGCCTACATTTAAAAACTAAAAAACAATAAATAAAAAAAAATGGAATAAAATGCAAATGAATATGAAACAGTTAAAACGTATACAAAATGTGTATGTTAATGTTTAAAAATATAAAGTGAGATACTTTTTAAAAATTAAAATTTAAAATTAGTAATAACTTACAAGAAGTTTCAAAAAGTTGCAAGAAGAAGAAAATTAGCAATGATTGTATTTAAAAACAAATTTATATCATGAAAAAATGTCTCCATAAATTTATCATTGTCTGGTATTTCATTTTCAATTACAATTTGAAAATTATTTTCAATTTTTATTTCTACTTCTTTTCTTGGCTGAAACCTTACAATATGCAGTTATATACATTTGTCATCCAATGAGCAAAAACATATAAAAAATTCAATTAATTGCATTAATGCTCTGATTCATAAAGACATCTGACCATAAGACCTTAGTGATGTGTCTTTGTGGTCTTTTGTAAAACTTTTGAATAGTTGAGCTGGTTTTGAAACTAATCCTTTCAGATATTCTCTTATTGGATACATGCACGATTTTTTTTAGGTTTATTTAATTATTTAAACAAATAGAATAATACTGCCTACAAAGTAATGTAATATTTTATAGAATATAAATTTCTTCAGATAATAATAACTTTGATAAATTCTTTTAATATTGTTCAACATACCTTTCTTCAACCACATGGTTTAAAAATTATAATGTATGCTTATGGTCATATTAGGATGAAATAGGGTTATTAAGTAATCAATTATTTAGTACCAACCAATAATTAATTGTTTCCATAATTAACACTTATTCATTTTATTTTTAACTAGGATGTTCCTCATGTAAAAATGACATCTCGTGAAAAAGATGAAATCTGGAAGCAGAGGAAGAGGAATGCAGTAGAATGTGATTGTGGATGATTGAGATTTTTATTGAACTAACTTTTAATAAAAGTGTGTTCTGGAAACGCCCATTTTGAACTGATAGAATTTTGTTTAAAATATTAAAAATACATATAAATCGCCTCATATAATTAAATGACCCTGTAACACATATATTTTTGGTAATTTTTTTTTTTTTTCATTTCAAATTAAAACCTCTTAATCAATAGATTCATGTTTTAAACGTAACCGTAAACCATTAAATCAATTTCATATCGAATTCCAGAAATTTAAAAAAATAGTAGAGGTATAATCAGGTTTTCATTCACATTGTCAAATAAAAAAGTCTAAAAAGTGAGTATGAGGTGAGATTCTAAGGCCACAGTTATACTGTAATACAGGTTTATATACATATTGATAATATATTTTAAAACGGAAATGAAAAATGGAAACAGATGAACAGAACTTCATGGAAAATGTGACCATATTTTATTTTTTCGAAACTTAAGTAGCATAATCCTTTTTATGTAAAAATGATTCAGAATCTACATGAAAATTAATTCAAAGACCGATGATGAATTATCTTCTATGAAAATGCATTGTCCTTTATCTTTTACTGTTTTAACTCCCCAGCTCTAACCAATCCATAAGCAAATCTTATGGTTGAGTTATACCTTTATTTGTGTTAAAAATTGTTAATCCAGAGTACATGTATTTTCTGCAAAAATAGAATAGAATAGAATAGGTTATTTTATTTGTCCAAGGAAATTCCTGTACAAATAAATATAATGGTATCATTAACAATATTAGATCTTGAGTCTAGTACTGCATTCAAACATAACATTAACAATGTCCACAGCATTAAGTATGATTAATATAATAACAGATTAGTAAAGGATATATATATATATATATATATATATATATATATATATATCAATTAGTAAAACATTTTGTTTTTCAATAGTAATTTTTTTTTAAAATATTCCAGAGGTAGAAAACAAATAACAATATAAATAAGCATTAATATATGTTTATATGATTAACTATACGACTTAACAGTTCAATGAACAAGCCTGTATGAAATAATACAGTTGATTTAATTTTTTCATAGTGTCTATTTTCAGTATCTCCTCCACACTAACATCTTCCTTGGATTCAGCGATAAATGTCTTATTTCTTGGTTTGTTAAACTTGATTCATTGAATCAAAAAATGAGTCACCGGATCAGTTGCAGGGACCACACACTAGATTTAATAGTCAAAGTAGCATCTTTAAAGTATATCTTCACAAAATCTTTACTTGCTACTCTGAGACGATTAACGGGTCTTAATTTGTTTAAATTCGGAGCCTTGAACTGAAGATAGTCTTCTGGTCTGGTAACATTAAAGGAGTAGATTTTTCTATATCTTGGGTTTAATTTAGAGTTTAACACTCTGTCGATGTCCTTGGATGCGTGATGGTTTCTTATTTTTTCCTTGATTTCATCTTTGAACATCATCAGACCTTGAGAGAAACACAAGAAAACAGCCCCTGACATCCGAGTTCTGCCACAATCATCTTTACTTGGGTAACCCAGTTATAAGTTGGATCAGGTTTTCCAATGGATGGGTCTAGAGTTCTAAGTATTGTCTAAATAGTCTTTTGTCACTCATTAACCTTAGCTTTATTTTAGCAAAAATAATAGGCTACAAAATTATTATGAAGCTTTTATTCCTTCCTTTACTTATGACTTGACATCTATTTTAGTATATGAATTATGAAAATATAATTGTTATTCAATAAAAGAATATGTTAAAAAAATGATGCTTTTTAAAAAAAGAATATTTTCTAAGGAAATAATGAACCATTGTTTATAACACAGATATCTATTGTGGAAATTGGTCCTTATGGTAGTAAGTAACTAACTAAATGTTTTTAATCCTAATATTTACGTTAATGTGAATGCAAATTCTAGCAATATGTGGGCTAGTATTTTGCCATAAAAGGGTGTTCAAGATCCTGTCAAAATTAACGCTGGACCTAAAACACTGCATTTTGTGTACTTTTTCCCACAAATTCGATTAAAAATAGTTTAAAAGGGATCATAGCACTTTAGCAACTATTTTCAGCTACAATATTAGATAATTCAGATATAAATGAAGACTTTTTAGGGTAAATATTATGAGCTTTTAAATTATTCGTTGTTTTGAGTACAAAGTGTAAATAAAAACTATATGTTTAATTCAATTTAATTTTCAATTAAAATAATAATAAATGTTCTGGTTATTTAGTTAATTTATTCACGATAACATTTAGGTTTTATCGCGCCCTCCTCTGGTTCCGCTAATGCTTCTAGGACTAGGAGCTCAGTCGTATAGTTGAATTTTCCTATTTTGTTAATTAATATTAGTCTGAATATTTTTGTTTTCGAAATATTGAAATGAGGGAAGATGAAGCTGTATTCTCGCTCCCTCTCTATTTTTGTTGGAGGGGAACCACTTCTGTTTAAAGACTGGTGCCAACGATTTATTTAAATGATCATGTAGCTAATATATATTTAATTCACTTAATGTATATTATAACGATTCGATAAACAGTTCTCTACATTTTATATATTTCGTGTACTCGACGATTTGAATAGAAATTAACTATTTTAAAAAGTTAATCATCCGTAAGAATATTACTCTGGTTATAAATACAACCGTAAATAATTAGCTAATATAAATTGTGGCAATTCCATATAGTCCGCGATCTACCGAAGATTCAACCACATGATTGGCGGCAGAAGGTTTGAAAATTGAAAACAACAGAAATGACAACCCTAATGCCAAAATCCTCGAGTCAGACGGCTAACTGAAAGGGTTTGGCTATGGTAGAATTTAAAACATCACAAAAACTGCCACAACTTACGTGATCAGCAGCAGGAAACAAACCTATTGGAATAGTTCATGGTTGCCAACTATCCTGATGAAGATGGAGTGATTATAATCACGTCCGGTTATTTTAAACCGCGTGCTCCCTGGATATCATCTACATAAGAAGAGAACCAAACGAATACACCTTATTGCCTAGAACAGCCCCAATGTGCGAGAAGACTAATGGAGGAAGTCACAAGAGTCAACAGGCGTAAAAAAAACAAAAATAAAATAAACTGGACCTGGAATGGTTTCAGACAACTCCGTAGATGACAGATTTAAAAAAATTAGACAAAATTTTGGAAGTTTTATACGAATCTGGCAGCTTTAAAAATCTCAAAAAGTGATAAGCAGAGACAAAGAAACAATGGGAATAGTTTCCAATTTTGTACAAACTTTTTTAAATCTGTCATCTCCTGAGTTGACTGAAACCATACCAATTCCAGTTTTTTCCTGCTACTGATCACTTAATTTTTGCAGTTTTTGAAATTCTGCCATGGCCAAACGCTTCCAGTCTGACTCGAGGGGTTTTGGCATTAGGGTTGTCAGCTCTACTGTTTTCAATTTTCAAACCTTCTGCCGCTGATCACCTGGTTAAATATTCGGTAGATCCCGGACTATTTATTGATTATATTTATCAGGCTGAAAAAAAATATAGCTTTTCTATGAAAATTCTATTTAGTTTCTAAAGGAACGATTAATTACCATTCAATAATATAAAAAATATATCAACTACAACTAATAGGTTTGATCCGTCCATATTAACTTGTACGACCATGTATATTATATATTCATTTTTTAAAATGCTTTCGAACGTTAGACTTATCTTGTATATCATTACTACTATTTCCGGCCTTGTGGTACCATTTGCCTACCCTTGACGGATAACTTGAAGTTGCTGTCGCGTGCCTGCCAGAGTGATAGTATCAAGATTCATTCCCCGGTGACGCCGAGAAAGAAATATTAATTTACCCATGTGAGAATCAAACCAACGTTCTGAACCGGGCAATCTGGGACCTACATTCCAACGACTGTGATTTATTAAGTATTTAGATTCAAACGGGTTCTATATTGTTTATACAGGATACATGGGACATATAGTTGGATTTTCTAAAATGCCTCTTCATGGTTAGTTTTTAGTTCATTAACTAATTTTGGTTCGAGAACAACAGGTGTTGCTAGGATTTGCCGTACATTACATATCTTAATCACTTATTTATCTATTGTCTGATCGCTTCAGCTTATATACGTAAAGATAGTAAATTTAACAAAAAAAAAAAATTGCAAAAAGTAATATCATTTTAGTATAGATTTTTGCTCTGCGAACTTTCTCTGAAGGTTAAACTGCCGAGTTGGGTCATAGGAGAAGTTCAGTCGTACGATACCAATCCTCTCTCTTCTACTTTCCTCCTTTCTCTTTCAATAATAATTTGTGGGCGCAAAAGTTACAGATTTTAAGTTTTTGTGTGAAAGGCAAACTGATAAATTTACTTTTATTACGTGATTCGGTGTATAATATATCATAAATTCTTTTAACCATTTTCAATTTTAGAGTCGTACCATTTGCTTTAGTTAAGGAAACTTCGTTTTCCTATAATTTTTAAATATTTTAATGAATACTTATTTCCTTTTAAGACTGAAGTTAAAGAGGTAATGGTTCATAAAAACATATTTATGAATATTTAATAAAGGTTTATATTTTTATTTTCGTATTTCTTAAATTGTCTGAAATATTATTCTTTAACTTTAGAAGACAAAGAATTTGTACATATTATTTGTGGGAGTGGAGGGAGGAACTGAAAGCATGGAATATGACGATACCCGCCGTAGAGAGAGAGATCATTGAAATTAATGGAGCCCATAACATATACAGCCCAGGAGTGGGCGGGGTGGCCGAATGGGCTAACGCGTTGTCCACACCACCGTTGCCCGGCAACCTAATATATGACAAATGTGTTATAAAAATAGTCACGAGTTCGCTTCCCGGTTCCAAGGCGTCTTTTAAATCCCCGCCCACACTCCCTGGCCCGGGAAAACCCCGTATGGCCTTAACGGCAAGGAAAGGGAGGACCCAAAAAAAAAAAAAATAAAAATAAAACAATATATAGCCCAGTAATCTTGTACATCCTAAGTTGCATTGAAATGGAGTAGAAGGTTAATTTTCTTGTATGGGATATGACTGAGATGCAACATCCAAGTTTTCGACCTTGATGGCAACCCGGATCACTTTTCAGTATCCCAAAACTGCTATGTTTTCGCAATTTATCGATTTTTGCCCAGGTCTGTATAGGAAC